GCTAATCCAAACAAGTTCAAAAGTGTTTATTGATATAGGCTACTATGCACAAGGCCTTTGTTTTATATATTGAAAAAACTACTGAAAATAAGCAGTATTTTTAAAGATGGTGTTTGATGATGGAACAGTAGAAAAAATTAAAAGAAACTTTTAGAATTTTTTTTTACAATTTAAAAAAATGTTATATTTAACCAAAACAAATGAATGTTAAGAAAGTTGTTAGAAGGCTACACAAAAGAACTAACATTTGTGGAGATGGAATAAGGGAATGAGAGTAGTGAAAGAACATGAACTTTTCATTTAACTTTCCATTGCATTGGTTTACTATGAACATCTGCTATTTTTATAATATAGTTTTTATACTTTAAACAACAAACTAAAGTAATCAACTGAATTTAGCTGCTAAAGAAAATTTATCTTATCCCTCAGGTGGTTTGGGGCAGAACACTTGAAACCTACTGATTTCTATCAAATGAAGACCAGGGTGAATCAATGACTTGCTAGCACATATACTTTAACAGAACCTCGGTTAGGACCCAGGACTTCACTGGGGACCCAAAGGCAGAAGTCTCTTCCAACCATTCCCTGCTTCAGAGGGAATAAATAAATATGATATAAAGATATGGTTCATCACCTCTGAACATTTAGAAGTCCCTAAAGTTAAGCAGCTCAGGGGTGAAAGACCATATAGAGGCCCAGATCAGCAAAGAACTGTCCAGTCATGTCACTGTTGTTGAAAACCACTAAGTTTTGGAGTATCTTGTTATGCAACCCTAAGTAACTGATAAAATCTACTTAAAAAAATTGTCGTCTCAGAACTGTCCAGAGGCGAGCATGCTATTATAATTCTGCTTTCTGATATGGTGAAAAATATCCCTTTTAAGAAATATTTAAACTCAAAAAAAAAAAGCCAAAACCCCAACCACAAGCTAAGCTGAATATTTAATACATTCTGTAGGAATGAACAAAGATTAGAATTTTATAATATACACTAGAGGCCCTGTGCACGAAATTCATGCACTGAGGGGGTGGGGGGGTGGAGGAGGGTCCTTCAGCCTAGCCCAGGGGTGGGCAAACTTTTTGACTCGAGGGCCACAATGGGTTCTTAAACTGGACCGGAGGGCCGGAACAAAAGCATGGATGGAGTGTTTGTGTGAACTAATATAAATTCAAAGTAAACATCATTACATAAAAGGGTATGGTCTTTTTTTTTTTTTAGTTTTATTCATTTCAAACGGGCTGTAGTTTGCCCACGGCTGGCCTAGCCTGTGCCCTCTCGCAGTCCAGGATCCCTCTTGCAGTTTAGGATCCCTCGCTCCCTACCACTCGCCTGCTCGCTGCTCCTTACCTCTTGGCTCACTGCTCCTTAGCGCCAACGCAGCTGCGCTAGCCAGCTGTGAACCCAGTTTCTGGCTGAGCGGCGCTCCCCATGGGAGCGCACTGACCACCAGGGACAGGTCCTGTGTTGAGCATCTGCCCCTTGGTGGCCAGTGCACGTCATAGAGACTAGTCGTTCCACAGGTCCTTCAGTAGTTCGGTTGATTTGCATATTAGGCTTTTATTATATAGGATCTGTGTGAGCTCTTATATGTTAAAGATACTAAGTATTTATCGGATATTTGCTGCAAATACATTTTCCCCAGTCTGTCTTTTAAAATCTAGGCTCATTAGCGATTTCCCCTGTAGCCACATGGATTCCTTCCATAGATAAATTCTGTGTTATTTTTATTGCTATAATTTCTTTTTTTTAAGAGTCTCTTATTCTCGTTGAGTTATGTTTTCTTCTAGTTTGCAGCCATGGGGTCATAATGGCTTCACCTCTAACTTTATTTTTTTAAATATGTTTTCATTTATTTGAGAGAGAGGAAGAAAGAGAGAAAGATTGAACCCACAATAGGGGCATGTGTCCTGACAGGGAACCTAACCAGTAACCTACTGGTATACAGGACAGACATCCAGGCCTGGGCCTCAGGCTTTTTACTCTTTGTTGTTAATGCTTATTGGAGTCAAAGGTCCTTCACAGGTGATTTCTTATGCTAATGAGCTCTCAGTTTCTGAAAGAGGCTGAAGATTCTCCTTCAGGGTTTTCACAGGACAGTGGCACCTCGAAGAACCCCTACTCCTAGAAGACTCGCCTTTCAACAGTAATAACAGAACAGCTGACACTGAATGGCCACTTAAAACAGGCCCCAGCACTCTTCTAAGTGCTTCTTCACCTGGTGACCTGGCTTGATCAACAAGCCCAGGAGGCCGGCACTATTATTCCCAGATTTCAGAGGAGAAAACAAAGGCGCAGAGTGATTAAATGATTTTCCAAAGTGCAGGGCAGAGCTGGGAGGCACACGGAGTGGGGGCTGCTGGGGAACAGATGTGCACACAGATGACGCAGGGATTCCCAGCGTGAGTGACAACTGAGGCAGGACAGGACAGTGCCGGGAAGAGAGGGAAGGCAGCAGTATTGCCCCGGAGACCCAGGGAGCACATGCTGGGACCCGGCTGGACTCCTGACCCTCAAGGTTTTCATACTGCAGAGCCATCTTGCCCGGGAATCCGGAATCCGAGTTCTCCCAGGGACCCCAGGACACGGAGCAGGCAATTTCCACACCTGCCTACACTGCTAGTTAAACACGGGTTCGTAAGCCCAAGGAGGGCAGGGGCAGATAATCACAGTGGCAAAGTGAGGCTTAGTACCTGTCAAGCACCGGGCTGAGAGCCTTATGTGCACAATCTTATGCACACCTGTAACATTCCACTGAAGCTGGTACTGTTATCATACCCATTTTCTAGATGAAGAAACCGAGGCTCAGAGAGGTTACACAGTACTAACTGGCGGAGGCTGTGTGATTCCAAAATTACGATGTCCCTCTGCTACCCCCAACCCTTGGGTGGGTGGTGTTGCTAAGTCCAGCTTTTCTCTCCCTCTTGCTCTGGGACACCCGATGATCAGCAGGGTTGAGCAGAGGAGGAGAGACAGGGCTCCGAGGGACCCAACAGGGGACCTGGCCATTATTTCTCTAGAGCCCAGCGATAAAGAATCAATAAGGAAAAAGACTGGCCGTTTCCAGGCTGTTCTATTGTATCTTCTTCCCACTAATGGAAACTGGTTTGCCATAGGCCAGTGGTCGGCAAACTGCGGCTTGCGAGCCACATGCGGCTCTTTGGCCCCTTGACTACGTGCGGGCGCGCATGTACAGTGCAATTGAAACTTCGTGGCCCATGCGCAGAAGTATTTTGTGGAAGAGCCACACTCAAGGGGCCAAAGAGCCGCATGTGGCTCGCGAGCCGCAGTTTGCCAACCACTGCCCTAGGCTATTATTAGTATAGATTAGACATTTATGTAAAAACTGTTCCATTTTTCCCAAAGAAATATCCTCAATTTCTTTGTTATTTTCTTCAGAGCAATAACCTATAATTTCTACTCTCGCAGATAAGGGGCTCCACTGTGTTGGGCAGTAATTATAACTTTATGTTTCAAGTCATTATCACCTCCAAACACTCCCTTTCATTTTACTGCACAGGCTCACTGTACTGTTTCATAGTAAAAATACACTCCACTCAAATTCAAAGAGCCTGAACAGAAGCTAGAAGCCCAAGAATGCTTAGGTACTGATTTAGTAACAATGTCTACTGGCACAAACCTCCTATTTATTCATATTATTAAAGCTATGTTAATGAAAAAGGAACTCGGGAATGAGATTATTAAACATAACTAAATACATTCTAAATATAAATACCATGTATTTCCGGATTAATATCAAGTAAATATCTAAACCATCCATCTCAAATTCTGGTCTAAAAGAAAAAGGTCAGAGACAATTACAAAGAAGGTGCTTCACATTATTAGGTCTATTTTGAAAACAATGAGGTCTTCTGGGACAATCACTCTAGTTTTTCTTTTTATCAGAGATTTCTGTTGATCCTTGTGTTGGTAATCTATTTATGTCTGCACCCTTATAGTCTACTTTGCTTTTGCTTGTATCGTTGGATTCTTACATAGCTTTTCTAGGCCACATGCGACTAACAAGGGAGAAATCAGAGGGCATATAGGTACAGCTCTAGGAACTTTTTGTAGACCCAGAGCAGAATTGGAATGACAATACAAGGAATGCACACCATTGTCCCAGGTGTGAACTCCTGTACCTCGACCACCAAGACCAAGTGGAAAATCGAAAATTTTAGATTTTTAATGTGAAGTAAAGGAGCATGCATCAATTATAGTGAACTATACCCCATAACTTTCTGTTTGTTTTTAATAGAAAAAAAGTAAACACTAACAAGGTGACAGGAGTGAAAAAATCCTAGATTTTCAGTTAATCTAAATAAAATGACAAAAATATACAGTGTTTTCGTTTTACAAATAAGTAAAAGCAATAATATTGTAATAAAAACATTTTAAAAATCTGGAATCAGAGGGGAAAAAGATTGAGTCATCAAATGATGCATCAGCTTGATCTGTCTCACATGCCTTGAAATGATCAGGATATCAAAAATTAACCATGGGGAAAACATAAGTGAATAGAAACATAAAAAGACAATACATGAATGAATAATTTAAAAAATAGCCCAATAAAGAAAACAATTTAGTATCATGTGATAATAAAATTAAAAATATATATATAACACTAACTAAGGGTATACCAATGAGGCAAAAATTAACTATTATCAGAGAGTTACTCAGTTCTTAGTTTTGCTCATCAATAAATATGCTTTTTTCCTCTTCAAATAAAAACATAATTCAAACTTCTGTGAACAAAACAGAGGTGCACTACTAGGATAACTCGGGTAAAATGCTTTGTTTTTGTTGAATTATTTCGATTAAAAGAAAAAAAAATCAGTCTTAGATTCATGCACAAAAGAAACCCCCAGAACAACAGGTAACAACGGCTACTTTAGAAAAAGAGTAATTATACAAGAAAACAAATTTAGTTCAAGGAAATAAAACATTTTAAGAAGTCTCACTTAAAAATAGTAAAAACATAAAGTGAAAATGTTAATTGTACCTTAAAGAACCCTGCTTCAGGGCCACACCTGTCATATATACTCCTGGATTTACCTATCGCCATGATAATACCTTGCATGTTCGGTGTCATCATGATCTGCCACAAGGGATTGAAAGTTAAGAGTTTTTGAATGAGTAACATAAAAAATTTAAAATAACAAAATAATTACATGCAAGTTAGAAGTCCTTTGCTTTTCATTACTTATAAATCAAACGTTGCATTTTTTATAGCAAACGTGACCCAGTATGCATGTAAGTATATTTCAAAATCTCTACAGGGCCACATCTAGTTCATATGGTGCCTTCGCGCAAAAAGCAAAAAGGCATCCTCTCTGAACCAAACAATTTTAAAAAGAGCCCCTTCTCGACAAATTAGAAAAATGTGCTGCTCTCTGAATGAGAGAACCATTTAGAAATAGCAACAATCTTTTTATTTAAAAAGGTGCCTCTTCATTAAGGTTTGGGGAGCTCAGTAAGCATAAGCTCAATTTCAACTCCAAGTACGCCCATTGGCTAGGTGTTCTTGCACAACCATACAACCTGAACATTCATTTGCAGCAGCCTTGTGTCCACAGACCTTGGTGCCAAGCACATGCACTGTTAAACCATCACTCTATGCATTAAAAAAACAAAACCTCTGCCAGTTGCATAAGCATTTGTACAAAAGATAGTGTTAAATGATTAATCCTAATTCTGTTTTGTTAATGCCAGAAGGTTCACCCTAAAACAAGCAGAGGTGCTTAATAAACGTTTTATTAAAAAAGTAAGTTTCTATAATTTTCAAGTACCAACATAGTAGTATTAAAATAACTAGAACAACATATTGATATTAAGTACTAAATACTGAAGTATATTTTTTTTTGTTTTCATAATAGCTTATTTTTAGCTGTTTACATTTTAAAATACCTGAAAAAATGATATAACTCAAGGCACTATGAAGCTATTATATTAGAGCTGTCAAGAGAGTGCATCCAGTCCGGCTGGTAGGGCTCAGTGATTGAGCAACAGCCCATGAACCAGGCAGTCATGGATTGATTCCGAGTTAGGGCACATGCCTTAGTTGCCAGCTTGATCCCCAGGAGGGGCCATGTAAGAGATGTTTCTCTCAATTTTCTACCTTTCTATCCCTTTTCCTTCCTTTCCCTAAAATCAGAAAAATATATATTTTTTAAAAGGCGAGAGTACATCAATTACCTCTGATTCACTGAAACTATTATTCAAAGTATATATTTTGGATTATATACTGAGAGTTGCAATAACATTAACTACTTGAGAAAATCCTTCTGACTATTTCCTATCTCACAAACCTGCTCCTTATTCTCATTATGGCCATGCTTTCTTACATTGATGCAGTAAAATTAATATCTGTATGACACCTCTGATTTTAGTGCCATAAAGACATGTTTAACTCATAGTTTAATTATAATCTTGGAATAAGTCTAGAAAAAAGTTACCTGGAAAAAACTATTTCGTGTATATTCAATTCTCATCTATGCCAGTAAAATGATAGAATCCAAGGTCTTCACTATGCTCTTCATGAAATATGAAAGATATCAAAATGTAAAAGTCTTAAGAGAAAAGTGGAGGAAGGGGGGAAAATATGATGGGACCAAGACAATAGTGTATTTTCATCTGGATTCCCCCAAAACACCTCATGAGAAGCAAAAATGCTTCTATAGTGTTAGAAATCCAACTAGATGAGAATTAATAGTGGAGAGGTAGAAAAAGATAAGTTGGAAAGTCCCATTGTGTATAAAACTCTGGTAGGCATTCAGCAACATTGATGAATCATTTAATTCACAGTCACATGGAGGTTGCAAAAGCAAAAATACCAATTATCTATTTGTAATAAGGATGTATGTTCTTCTGGCAGGAAATGGTGGCCAAAGTATTACAATACATAACTCAAGCAAAAGAGAAAATTAAAATTATTTTAAATGCTCAAAATTTTTGCTATTTAATTGAACAAATCTTATTGTAATCTATCAGCCTGAGAGTAAACCAATCCTACATCTGCATAAGAGAATTAACACGAGAAACATAAAATTATTATTCTGAAAAATTCCATAAGCTTTCTGCTTAAATTGTTATTTGAAATTGAAAGTTGTGTTAGCAATTGGTAAGGTAATTTCAGACCATGGGTGGCAAAGCTGTATGTTATGCAGTAGTAGACATCAGTGTGAGGGTGCAGGCATGCCCAAAGTAATGGTATTAAATAGTGAAAAATAAGTAGAACAGTGCAGAGCGCTGTGACAAAGGTACCTCGTCATCATAACCCCCCTCCTTTGACTCAATCACAAATTTCCCTACGTGAGGAATCGCCACCTCTACAACTTGCTGGTTACAAGGTGGTTGGCTTGTAGCACTTTCAGGTTTCTGCAGGAAAAAATCATTAGTATGAACATTAGAAAAGAGAAGAACAATGGAAGCACCAGTTTAAGTGTAGATTCTTGAGTCTTTTAAAAATATCTGCATTTGCCTAGTATAAAACAAAACCACTTAAATCTGAGTATTAGAAACAAATAAATTAATACAAGATCTCCAGCTTTCCCTTTTCATCTCAAACACTAAATTAAGTTTTCATTTACTTTTTTCCCGTAAAGCATCTTGGACTCTAAATCCTTAAAAATAATAAACAGTGGAGTTGCAGTTCTTATTACTATCTTCATAGCTGAAGTTTTTTTTTTTTTTTTTTTTTTTAATTCTAATAACTCCATAAAGCTTTTTTGATACTTTATCTCCATTAAAATAAGATTTCTCTGCCCTGGCCAGGTGATTCAGTTGGTTGGAGTGTCGTCCCATGCACCAAAAGGTTGTGGGTTAGATCCCCGATAATGGCACGTATGGGAGGCAACCGATCTATGTTTTTCTCTCACATTAATACTTCTCTCTCTCCCCTCCTCTCCTCTCTAAAATCAATAAATATATCTTCGGGTAAGGATAAAAAAAAAACCCAAACAACAAAAAACCCCCCAAAGATATTCTTCTGAACCCAGAAGAGTTTGTAGGTTTTCTTTCGTATGATTTTACTTCTCTATCCTTTCTAGTAATCAAGTGTATATCTACTCACTATCCATACTCTATGGTGCTTAACTCACTCTGTAACAGCCTATGAGACCTAGTACCATATATTTATATCATAAGTATCCAATGAATTCTTGTTTTTTTAAAAGCTGCAAGATACTATTTTTAACCAATCAGGTTTCTTTCTTTTTATTTTCTTTAACAAAGACTATAAATTTCACTAATCCACACTAAGAGTGGAAGGTAGCATGAAATCCAGAAAAGTCTACTTGAAGACACTAATGCAGCTCATTCAAAATACTGCTCAGATCTTATTTTACTGTATAGATTTGTAACTAGCATATTTAGTATTTACGTACGAACAAAGTTAAAAAGTACCTAAAATGCTTCAATAAAGCTTGCTTGAGTAATTTTAAATTGCACCATAAAAGTTTTCCTAAGCAAAAATAAAATTTTTTTTAAAAAACTTTACTTTTGATATTAAACAGAAAACTTTAATAAAGGGTTTTATTTCCATTTAAAGGTACGTTTTAGGGATGTGAGCACATTCTGATTTTCCAGAAGTACATTTGCAGAAAGAATTTAATTAAACAATAAAATAAAACTAATGACCAAGACTGGCACTATTCCTTTTAAAAGAAATGCTATTTATAAATAACATTTTTCGAAAAGGTTTCCTTCGAGTTCTTCATTTTTCAAGGAAAAATAATGAGCTTGTATGTTTGCCATGATCATGAGATAATATTCAGGTTACCCCACACCTGGGACATAATTGTTGCTCTATAAATGACAGGCATTACCAATATTATTATACTACTAGAGGCCCAGTGCACAAAATTTGTGCACGGAGGTGGGAGTGGGTGAGGGGAAGGGTCCTTCAGCTTGGCCTGCACCTTCTCGCAATCTGGGACCCCTCGGGGGATATCTGGCTGCTGATTTAGGCCAGATTTCGCAGGGATCCCTGTGGGATTGGGCCTAAACCTGCAGTTGGACATCCCTCTCGCAATCCTTGACTGCTGGCTCCTAACCGCTTGTCTGCCTGCCTGCCTCATCGCCCCTAACCACTTGCCTGCCTGCCTGATTGCCCCTAACTATCTCTGCATGGGCCACCGCCGCCACAGCTTCATCCAGAAGGATGTCCGGAATGACGTCTGTAAAGTCATTTGGCTGTTCCGTCTAATTAGCATATTATGCTTTATTATTATAGATTAATACTATTTTAAATTGCTTACATTTGAATAATTCTAACCCAATATTACCATCACAAATACCTATAGAGATATGTTTATTATGTAGTAATAAATGTCCTAGGTCTCCATTCATAAAAGTGAAATAAGCAGATAAATTAAGAAATCTGTCTGGACACAGTGGTAAAAAATTTCTCACAAGAACACCAATCCCAAACAATACTGTCTTAAGAAGAGAAAGTATAGGGTGTCCTCAAAAAATATACATCACACATTTAATAATGAAAAAGGCAGTGTTTATTAAAATACAATTCATTTTCAAAATTGAGCTATCGGCTATTAAAATGTAAATACACTTTTTTGGGACACATGACAAATTTACAGCAAGTAGCAACTAGAAAATGTATTCCTTAGAATACTGATCCTTACACAGTCCCATTGGGGAAAAAATGTAGTTAAGAAAAAAAATCAGGGTTTTATAAACCTTTCCAGTTACCACAGAAGAGTTTCAACAGCATAATACTGATTAATTATATGGGTAAAAGTTGAAAAACGGAAATAGCTTGGGTTCAGATAATAATTCTGTAGGTATTGTTATTCTCACATTTAGATATCCTAAGGTACCATAAAAAATGTTCATATAAAGAATTTAAGGGTTCACTTAAGTAAAGTAGATGCATATTTATCTTTTCCAATTACTATCATGTCCTGTATAAACATCTTAACCAAGGATGAATTTGAAAGAGTTAAAAATAAGTTCCTCAGTTAAAAAGTTGCAAAAATAATTAAAATACAAAGATTTTTATTGACTGCTTAAAAGCCATCCTATATAATAAAAGCTAATATGCTAATTAGACTGGACAGTGGAGCGACCTTCCAAAACGACCTTCCAGAATGACCAGTGAGGGGGTTGCGAGGCAGCCGGGCTGTGAGGGCTGAGCCCCTTGCACGAATTTCGTGCATCGGGCCTCTAGTTAAATATATCATTTTTTTGAAAGCAGTCACATAAAAGGTGGTTAGAGCACTATATCATCTCATCACTTTTGTCGCCCTTAATATGCTCATATCATTTTAACCAAGTAATTCAACTATGAGGAAGCTGAAGAAATAACCTAACATATGAAGAAAGTTTCATTTCTAGCAGCCCCTTTAGAATAATGTAAAAGTAGAACTGAATATGGGGGATAGGTTAAGTAAACAAGAATCTAATCACTCAAAGGAATAATACTAAACCTATAAACTTTTTTAAAGAGTTTATAACATGGGAAACGGTTAAGTTATAATGTGATTTTAAAAAAAGCAAAGGTAAGATATGAAATTTTATATGCAGTAATAACTCAACTATAAAGATAAATTCTAAACCTGTATATAAAAATAAGAATAGAAGAAAACATACTAACATATTCATAGTGTTTAACTTTGAGACTACGCATGTTTTTTTCTGGGAGTCCACTTTTTTGTATATTTCAAATTTCCTGAAATATTTCATTTAAATTTGGGTACATTCTCCCAAAAAGCAAGCTGTATAACATTTGGAGAGTATCTCTCCATGGTTTCTGTGATTCTAAGCTTTCCAGGGAATTCTTCTTACAGTAAGGTTGGAGCTTAATATACTGTATATTTGTGAAATGGTTAGAACTTAAACAACAAAAGAAAACTAACAGTTACGTAGTGCCTACACTACAAGCTAGGCATTTTTAAAAAATGATCTAAAGTAACTTCACAATCACCTCCGTTTTATATAAAAGAAAACTGAGATTTAGAGAAATTAAGCAACTTACTCAAGTTTGCATAGCTAGTAAGAAGTAAAACCAATATTCAAAAATCAAGACTATCTAATCACAAAGTCTGCAGACACTTTTTATCTATGCAATTTAGTTTCTAAAGCATGGATTTAAATGAGAAAACCCAATGGTGGTTACCAAGAGTCTAAGCAACTGACCATGAGACCAGGAACACAGGCTGCTTCAGACAGCCATGTTAACACATTCTTAGGCATGTTGCAAGATTTATATAGGCAAAGGGACCAAATGTTGGTGCTGTACCAGAAAATAAGCCAAACAGAAAAATATTTATGCTAGCCATCTATCATATTATCTCCATGTCATCCTCCTTTCTCAAGTAAAGGTGAAGCAGTAGGTTGTTAGCTTATAAGACGATATCCATATTAATAAACTAAGCAATCAAAATTTAAGTGATTTCTGCAAATTTAAATTATACATGATTAGACAGACAAAAACAATCATGATTCTACGTTAAGCTAAATAATGCTTTTAGGCTTTCTGATATCAGTTAAAAGAATGCTATTTATTAACCATAATGTAAGCTCTAACAAATAAAATTCCTAATTAGCAAAAGCCCTGACAAGTTATTTTTTATTACTGGTAAAAATATTTCTCCTGTGCACCTACTTCTCAGCCCTTTCTCCCTCCCTAGTTTTCCTATTCTACCATTCCCCAAGAACTACACAGCTCAGGACCACTAGAAGAAGTACTTGCCAACAAGTGCTCTATTGTTAGTAGGTGTTCATCTCAAACTCATTCAGAGTCTCTAGAGCATTTGCAAAATTTGGTTAGATAAAAAAATGATATTAATGCATAATTTTTATGGTAAGATGATATATAATCAAAATTATTCAAACAGAAAATAACTTTAAAAACTAATTCCTGATTATTTCATTCATTAAAACAACACCCTATTAAATGGACATTTTGGTTAATTGAGGTCTTATATTAAAGACCTCAGTGCATTTAGCAATTAAGTAGAAAACTGCATTGAAAAATTGTATCTCTTGTTCTCTTTAGTTCTCTAGAGGAGAATCGTCAAATATTAACATTAGCTATCATGAAACCTATATTAGAGCTGCTTGTGCTAATAAAATAAGATGATGGCAACTGAATTTTGTAATAGCAAATTCTTGAAATAGCATATCCCAGAATGTTATAGTCACTGAAAACACAGTGCAATACCAATGTGCTCAATTTATTGTTATAAAAAGACACAACTGAAAACTACCAACAGAAGAATTATCATGACAATTTTGAACGGAACACTACTGAAATATGCATAAACCATAGTGTAAGATAATATTTACTACTCTAACCTAAAATATCTGGTATTTTACTGTTAAACACATTCCATGCAACAATGAAAATTATTCCTTATTCTAAACTATTCCAATGTAGTAAGACTAGAGATTGAGGGAGGCGTGAGAAACACAGTTGACCCTTGAACAACATGGATTTGAACTGTGCAGGTCCATTATATGTGGATTTTTAAAAATAAATACTGTAAATGTATTTTCCTTCTGATTTTCTTAATAGCATTTTCCTTTCTATACTTTATTGTAAGAATATAGTATATAATACATATAACATAAGGAATATGTATTAATTGACTGTGTATATTACTAGTAAGGCTTCTAGTCAATAATAGGCTATTAGTAAAGCTGTTGAGGAGTCAAATTTTAAACTTGAATTTTTAACTGCTCAGAGGGCTGGCACCCTAACCCCCATGTTGTGCAAGGGTCAACTTGTAATGCTAAACGTTCTAGTTCTCTTTTTAATTCCCAATCAATGACCAATTTAACCTATGACTGTATTTTTCATAATTCTCAAACAGGAAGTTAGTAACTTATTTTTAAAAAGAATAATTTTTTAACATTATAGAGGAAAAAACTACAGCTGGGGTGTTAGGTGATGCCCCCAGTCACTGTTCATGTGGATGAAGAGCCCATGGCACTGCCTACCCCGACTCCCAGAGAGCTCACTGTCCATCACAGAGCTAGGAAACGTCATGAACATGGCTATGCTCAGAGGGGGAAAAGAAAAGTTCTTACCGTCTGCAAAACTGTTTCAGGACTTTTATCTTCGTGATCGCTTGATGCCTTGGTAATTGTTCGAATAGTTTCTTCTTTCAAGTGCTTTGAGAAATCACTTCTTGATGGCTGCTCTAGATATTCTGGTTCTCCTGCTTGTGCTTCATGAGAAAAGAATCAACTGTATATCTAATAAAATCAGAGCATCTATACTAAAATTACTCTATTATTTATTTCTAATTCAAAGTTAGGCAATCATCAATTTTATATACACACAACACTTCTCCCAGAATTAATAAAAAATCCAAAAGTAATCAAATAATTACTGAAAAAAGTACCCATTATAGTTTATGACACAGAATTCACAGTAATTTTATTTGCACTAAATCCCAAAATCTCATTTTAAAAACCACTAGCATTCTACAAAAAACAAACAGAAAGGATTTGGTTTGTACAGCAATCCTGGCCTACCTGGCCTAGGTCTCTACAGAGCTGTTTTTCTGGCTACACTATCCTTTTTCACACCTACCTGACAAAACGCTAACCCTGAATGCGCCCAATCTTCTCTTTTTTTCTAAACCTGCCCCTGGTAGTTGAGTGCTGTCAGGGAAAATAACAATTACTCATTGGCAAATTGGTATTAAAATAAATTCAAAACTTCAAATACCATCCCTGCTAAGAACTCCCAAAATGATATCCACGACCCATGCTCTGACATTAACACCCACAGATGCAAGTGTTCTCTGAATATTTACTGGGTGATTCACAGAAAACTCCAGACTTTAAGGGGCCGTTTCTTAGCTCTCCGACATAATCTTGTGTCTTTTGCTCAAAAGGAGACTATCATAGCTTTTTCAGCTTACTGAATACATCGAAGAGATCGAGTTCCAACCTTAGCTCTTTCCTTATTTTCCTCCCTCTGGCTATATGTTTACTCACTCTCACTCCCTCATCTAATAACTAATTTATCCTTTTGTTTAAATACCACTTCCCTGTAAAAGTATTACTGATTACAACATATCTCGGAACACTGGCATTTGGTGTGGAAGGCTGTCCTGTACTTCCTTGGCATTTACCCACGAGATGCCAATAGTAGTGTTCCTAGGTGTGACTTCCATTGTCAATGCCCTTAGGGGACAAAATCACTCCCAGATGAGAACCATTGCTCTAAACTAACTTACACTCTCTTATTAATAGCACTTACCACAATTATAACTTAATTATTATAGATATATGTTTCATGCCTATATCCCCTGCTGGATGTAAGAGCGGGGATGTTATCTCCCTTTTGTATTGCTATTTCTTCAATACCTACCACATAATAAAGCACACAATAAATTAATGGAACAAATGAATTAATAAGATTATGAATGAATATAAGGAAGAAAAAAGTACACTAAAACGTCCCACGTTATTGGAACTAACTGAGTCCTTCCTCAACCAACTGGTAGGACACAACAGGGCTCCTGTCATCCTTTCCAATATTTGTTTAATTAAAAAAAAACCTGTCCAAGTAAAATATCATTCAAAAAGAAGTACTATAATTTCAAATATGTATAGCCATTCATTTATCCAATAAAATGTAATAAGCATGTAATTACGTGCCAGGCACTAGACTAGTATTGAGTGCAAACAATATAGCCAGTCTCTGCTCCATGAAGTTGGCAGTCAACTATGGAAAAAGTCATTAACCAAAGAATCACACATGTGAATTGTGGCACTATTACAATAATACATTCTAGCAATAAAATGGAGGGGTGACTTAAATGATGGGATTTGAAATAAAGTGACTCTTTTGCTGGATGGAAGAATGAACAGCCCAGGTAGTGAGCATGAGCTGGATCTGAAAGGTTAGTGCGGCTGGACTACAGCACAAGAGGAGATAAGAAAGTGAAAGAATGTTTTCAATACAATGGCAGCATGGCAAGTTTTAAAAAATGTATTCCAGCTACACTGTAAAGAATGGATTAGAGAGGAGAGTAAAATTGGAAATCAGTGAAGGTATGAGAGCAGTATGAACAAGAGAAGACAGCTTTTGCTAAACAGAGATAGCAACAGGGCAGAGAAAACTGGGTAGATTCAAGTACAGTTTGGAAATAAACAGCATGGAGACTGAATGTGAAGATGACTCCAAGTTTTTGGCATGAGTAAGGAGGGTGATAGAGGTGAAATATAGTCTAGTGGGGAAAACTAGAGGGAGGAATGCCTATATTGTGTGATGAGCAGAGAAGCTAAAATAAGTTAAAGTTCTCATTTCTGTACTTTGTGACTGGGCTGCAATGTTCTTTCAATGCTCCTGTAATAATGAATAGGTAAAGAAAATCTTAGGCTACACCTCCAGCTTTAGCAGGGCTTCTGTTTCTGGTAGGTGTCATGGTTAAGTGACCTACGCCAGCTTATTTAGGGCTTATCAAAGAACCTTCTCATTGATAAAGATTTTACCTGTGTTTGCCCCCTTTGTCTATTCTCACTGTGATAGATAAAACATCAATGGCCGGTAGTAGCATGTGAACTTAATGCTATTGAGGGCCATGAAATCTATCTGGTCTGACACTGGTCTAAATCACCAAAATCTGGACAGTAAGTTCTTAGAAGCAAAAGTAATTTTATCTAATCAAAACCATCAATATATCTTAGGTTATCAAGGTCAAGGTTTCCTTCTACATAGGAATTTGAGTCCAAAGACCTTATGAGTAATGCTGAATGGTTTTGTCTAATTGTCACACAGAAAGAACAATTTCCTCTAGAGTTTTCCCTGTGTATAATCTTGCAGGGAATATATTTGAATGGTGCTGTAGTATAATAAGTGAACCTATAAGGATTTGAGATCTGGGAATTTGAAAATAAAAACCCACACTTCATTCTCAATATATTTATTGAGCCGGTGCCATTTTCAGTACTCTGCTTGGTATTAACAATGAAAAAAAAAAGACATAAAATTCACTCACTTTAAGGAATTCTCAATAAAATCAGATAAATATATACTGCATTACAATAGAAAGTACTAAATGCAATATCAGAGTTATGCACAAGATGTTATAAAAGTGTGGGCCTAATACACACACTTGAGATGATGTTGCATATTAAGAAACACCTCCAATTTGACCCAGTGATCCCAGTCTAGGAATATATCCCAAGAAAATAGAAACACCAATCAGAAAGGATATATGCACCCCCATGCTCATAGCAGTACCATTTACCATAGCTAAGATTTGGACACAGCCTAAGTGCCCATCAGCAGACGAGTGGACTGAAAAACTGTGGTACATCTACACAATGGAATGCTACACTAAGGTAAAAAACAAGGAATTCTTACCATTTGCAACAGCATGGATGGAACTGGAGAGCATTACGCTAAGTGAAATAAGCTAGTCAGAGAAAGATAAATATCACATGATCTCACTCGTTTGTGGAATATAATGAACAACATAAACTGATGAACAAAAACAGATCCAGAGACAGAGAAGCATCAATCAGACTGTCAAACCTTAGAGGGAAGGTAGGGGAGGGTGGGGGTAAGGAGGAAAGATCAATTAAAGGACTTGTATGCATGCATATAAGCCTAACCAATGGACATGGACAACAGGTGAGTGAGGGCATGAGTGGGGGGATGAGGGGGCAATGGGGCAATAAGAACACATATGTAATACCTTAATCAATAAAGAAAAAAGAAAAAAAAGAAACACCTTCTAGAAGAAATGCCAACTGGGCTGAGTCTTGAAGGATTTGTGGAGAGGATTATCTTGGATATGGGAAAAAGATTCGAGGAGAAGGAATAACATATGCAAAGGCATTGCAAAGACAGATAAAAGATTAATAAAATCCTGGCTGTTAATGAGTTTCTACACTACATGTCTTTATTTTAAACAAATTAGAATACAAATACAACACAAATTTGATAGTGAAAATAGATTAGAATAAAGAAGAAAAAGATAATAAATAATACAGAGGTAATTTTATGGGGGTTCATAAACAATTTGAGAAAGGTCTTAAAGAATAGAATTTCAAGAATATTGATAGAGGACATTTAAAAAATGAAGGGTTCTTGATGAACAATGATAGGAAAGTTCCCTAAAGCAAGAGTATTGGGTAATAATCTAGTTTAAATAAAACATAAGGTATTCATAGTGAAGCAGTCTTGGAAGAATTACAAAGGAGTCAGATTATAATGGTGGGTCCGCATAACAAAAATAAATTTCGGCTTCATTTTGTCAAAACAGAAAAGTACAAAACATGCTGAGAACAAAAAACCAAAATGAAAACAATAAAAAGCTCTTTCTGCTACTCAGACATAAACATTGTTAATATTTTTAGTATTATATAATTCCAGACTTCACATACCCACATTTTTCAAGCAAAAATAATAATACTGAATATTTTAAACTTAATATAATAAACATTTTCATGTTAACATATTTTTTTACTGGTTATACTGTATTCTTCTGTCCAGAGGGTCCATGAAACTAGTACCCTACCATATATCTAGGCAATTTCCATTTATTTGTAAAACCACAAAACAACAAGAGAAAGAGTTAGTTTTGTGTGTGTATGTGTGTGTAAATACACACAATGATTTATCTTCACCCTATGTACTCCTACAGAAGCCTCTTCACTGCTGGCCTATATACATGGTAGGCACTTTATATACTAACTGGTCCCTCCATTTAATGTTTAATGTAATTTTCAGGCTTTGACTTGGATTACACCTGGTGATTACTTGCATATCATTTATTATTCTTACTTCCTGGATGTCTACCTTGGTTCCCTACCTACAGCTACAAACTCCTAAACATACTCATTTCACCATATGTGACCAGTTCTCTCTGGAGGGATATAATACCCCTGTACCTAAAGTACCTCTCAAATCATTCATTTGTTCTATGGGTGCTTCACTGACATTTTGGAAGCCATGTTCTATGTTCATAATGAAGGGGGCTTCATTCACCTGTTTGGTTGTTATAGACCAGCATTCTGAGAGTACTCTGAGCTTGCTCCTTTGGTCCACTTTCACGTTGAAGTAAAAGATTGGGAGGGCTTGGACGCATTCTACTTAAGCATATTTCCTGGTTATGTTCTTCAATATTTTAAGAGGTGAGTCAACTTGACAACCATTTGGTTTTCTGTTAAAGTGTAAGGATCTGCTCTTTAATCAACTACTAAAAAAAAGCAACATCTCATATCTTACAGAAATATCTAAAATCTTGACTTACTAATGAGTCATACTTATTACACTCACATCTAGAAGAACATTTAAACAGGACTGCTTCAAAGATATGTAGTCCATTCATTGCTAGAAATATAATTAAAACTGACAAGTCCCCAAAAGTGGTCTATAAAGAGCAATGCTATGCTGGCTATAATGAATCACCAAAAACGTAAAATTTCAGATTCCTGAGTGCCACCACAAATAGAATTTTGGGAATGAGGGATGGGGTAGAGGCTTAAAAACCAGTTAAACTTAAAATATATCCAGAACAGAGATACATCTGCACCACACATTTTTAGCCTGCTTCTCTAATGTATAGTAATTTTGGCTATACTTTTTTTTTTTCCACACATGACTTTTAATTAAAGACTGGCCAGTGTTATATTGATGTTAAAACTGCCTTATTTCTTGGCATTTTTTTTAAAGAGTTCTTGGCTGTACTTTTAAAATGTTGGCATTCTCATACACTGAGGATCACCCCTAGGAAACTCAGTTACTGAAATCTCTATAAGGAATGAATTCAATGCAGAAAACATTCAAAGGGCACCTATCACATGTCACTTATTGTGCTAGATAAACAGGAACATCACCCAGTTCCTGTTGAAAGGAACCTGAGAATACTGAGAACACTGTTCCTTCTACCAGGTCTTACTCTCAGAAACCAGCTGGACTTTCCTGGAATATCTGTTTATTTTTAACTTTTAGGAAAGTTATTTTTAGGGAAGTCGTAGAGCCAATTCTACATGATGCCTCTAGGCAAATTATGAAACCTTGTGGAATGCATTTCATTCCAATACTAACCATTTCCACCTTACTTTTTTTGTTTTGGTTTCTTTTGTTTTCATTTGAATATACTATAGTATGTTCTAATAACTTCAAATAAACTTTTAGTAAAATAGGAGTATCAGGCATAGCTCTTCTCTTCTTCAGATTAATTTCTTTGTTTTACAAATGCAGTCTAGAGCGATGCTGCTTAATCAGAGATATACCTCAAATTATCTGAAGATCTCCAAACATAAGAGTCCAGGTAAGTTCTCTTTTCTGGTAAGCAGAATAAGGAGGTAGCATAAGATAAATCAAATAATACTTTTCCATCATTTATTACTTTGTTAATTAAGACAATGAATGATATTAGAGAAGTGATGCCTATGGGTTTCATGTTAGAAGAACAAATACTTATTGAATTAATATTATATAAGTTAATCTTCTTATTGGAATATCACACAGGAGAAATTGAATTTTAATAGCACTTATGTTACAGTTTTACTGAGAACACTTGAAGGGAGGGAATAAAATCACTCTGATGGATTTTATCAGCAACATTTCCTTGTATTACTTCATAATCCTGGTGTACAACTGAGAGATATAAATACAGGTTTTCTTTGATACTTTGAAAGTATTATACCAAATTAAACAAATTACTTAGAAAACTGTGAAGAGAAAGAAAAAGAATACTAATGAGATCAGATAAGTGGTTCCAATAAACACTATAAGTTCCTTTAGTCAACTGTGATATGTTAACTTCCCCTGCAATGGAGGACAAATTTCTTAGTATGATATTATACACACACACATATACATACATACACATTCATATATATATATATATATGTATATACATATATATATGTATATATATATATATATATATATATGGCTAATATGCTAAGTGTCTATCTGGGTAATGATGTCATATAGCAACGCCCAGCTCCCTCTTCCTAGCAACTACCCGGGGTCAGCAAACTGCGGCTCGCGAGCCACATGTGGCTCTTTGGCCCCTTGAGTGTGGCTCTTCCTAAGCCTTAGGAGTACCCTAATTAAGTTAATAACAATGTACCTACCTATATAGTTTAAGTTTAAAAAATTTGGCTCTCAAAAGAAATTTCAGTTGTTGTACTGTTGATATTTGGCTCTGTTGACTAATGAGTTTGCCGACCACTGGACTAGCCTCTTTGCAGTTTCCTCAGCCCAGGAACAGGACTTGCTTTATAGCCAGGTGGAAACATTTCACACTTTAACCAAATGTTTGTGAAGTGTCTTCCTGTGCCTCATCTCATTTGATCCTCACAGAGTCCTGGAGTAGGTAGATAGGATACTCAGTGGAATCCTATTTTCTCTTCATTAGCCAGAAAACAGAGATTTAGAAAGCTTAGAAACTTGACCCAACTGAAAAGAAGTAAGAAATGGTGGGCCTTGAAAATGATTTCAGGTTTTCTCACTGCACAGAATATAGTCAAACACTGCTGCAGTTAAATATTTTACCCTTTGCTCTCCCTTATTATTGTGTGATCTACAATAATAATCTGCTTCATGTTGATATTTACTGCTGTGTTGCTGACAGTTACCTGAAAGAGAAGTTGGGGTGCTTCACTGGGCTGGAAAAAGTTTAGCTAAATCAAAAAGCAAGTCTAATTAAGCAAGTTTATTCTACATATATAAAAGGCTAAGTTGACTTGTGCATGCACGATACATATAAAGCTCTCCCTGGCGCCAATCACATGCTGTGTTTTGATCTGTCATTGTTGATTGTGAATTTGCTTGACACTTCTATTATAGAGAAAGGGCGAACAGTGATATTAAAATATTTCTTCTAATTAATTTCAATGTGCACGAATCTGTGCACCAGGCCACTAGTATAGTAATAGAAACCAATCTTTCAGCAATAACCTTATGCCCCAAGTTTATAGAGTTAGCATATTCTATTTCTACTAACTCAAATGAAGTGCCTATTTCTAGCATTTCCATGGAGGACACAATATTTCCTATTAAGGTATATTGCTTTCTAAAAATCCAATTTGGAAGATAACTATGGATAACAATTATATTTGAACTGACATTTCACCCTCTTTTATTTTTTATTCTACTTCCTCTCTGAAATAGTTGCATTTTCTTCGAGTTGTTTTTTTAAATACTGAGAGACATGAAAATGCATGCCTAAAACCTTCTACTGAATTTTTTAAAATTACAAAGCAGCATATAAAGTGCATGGTAGAATGTTCTACCATGAAAAGAGGGTGTGAGGCACACAGATATGACCTTTTATATAGAGAACATAGAAGGTGACAAATGTAAACAGTGGGGCAAAGTTGACTAGCCCTGTCAGATAGGCGTTAATATTGTCCACTTATGTAGGAATATGTATTAGTTTGACTTAGTAGAAATATACTGTGCTAACTCTGTAAATTTAGAGTCTTGTGAGAAACAGACCAGATAAAGAGAAGACTCTAGAATTTAATATTTTTGGTGCCATAATATATAGATGAACCAAGAATAGAACTGGAGCATAACCTTCATCTGAGTGTTTAAGTACCACTAACAGTTATGCCAATTATGCAGCTCCATTATTCCACTAGAAATGAGAACAGCCACATGCAAATGGAATTGTGTAAAAGTTAAGGGAAGAATAAAACAGTAGCTACATCTTGAGGGAAGTTCAGGGCAGTGGTTTGGTGAGGGTATGTACAGAAAACAAGGAAGGAAGTCACAAAGGGATGAAATTGGCTGAAATTGAAAAGAAATACAATGTAGTTACTACACTGCGATTTGCGCTCAGAAGCCTCTTTGATACCTGCTGAGCTATTTCATTTCCTATAAATTCACTGTAATGAAACCACAGCACCTCCCGTTATACAGAGTGACCCCTGATATATGGAAAGAAAGTGCAGTCCTGCTGCTAATAACGGCAGAGCTCACCAAATGGCAATGGTGCTATTCCGATATACTGTACTACATCTATGTATCAAGCATTGGTATCTTTGCTGGTATAATACCATTATCTTGGTCTTTAAAAAATTCTAAATCAATGCCTCTTACTATCAAGATCAAGGACTCAACTATTCAGACTTGTAACTTGTTTTTATATATATTGAATAGTTGAGTCCTTGTTAATCTCCCATTGAAAGAATAAGTCCTTCTAAAGTTCAAGTGATACTGCAAAAACCCACCTAGGGATGTGTCTGCAAAAGATATTAAACAAGCACCTAAGATGCTTCCTAAACAACTAAAAACAAAACACAAAGACCTTGCAAAAAAAAAAAAAAAAAGGGTCATTCAAAAAGATCCATTCAAAGTTATAAAACAGGAGCCAAATGTGTGAAAAAAGTGTTTAACTTATCTCTTCTAATATCCCCAAGAGCCCATTTCCTACAGTAGTAAATATTATCCTGAAACATACTCACAATTCGATGATGATGAAATTAATCTTTTAAAAATCAGAAGACATTCTATTTTCAATTTTGCTACAACATATTTTCTTTATTTTGGCATAGTGTTTAAATATTTTATTGATTTCATCAGCTAATAACTAGAATATTTTTAATATTTATATTTTTATACATTTATCTCTGTTTTATATTTCTATATACATTTCTACCTGGAATATATTAAACATTTAGTTTGGGCTACTTTTATTTTTAATTTTAAGAACAATGAAAAAATTTATATATTTGAGTATACTCAAAATATATATGGAACAGTGTTATTTTGCTCAAATATAAAATCACTTGAATTCATTTTATTGATAGCTTTATTGAACTCAGATTTTTGACTGTTCAGGTGGTTGGCACCCAACCTATGTTATTCAAGTGTCAGTTATACATGTACACAGTGATGTCTGGCAAAGGGGTAAACTAAATTTTGGCCTGTGGTTATCTCTGAGTGATGAAATTTCTGATCATTTTTACCAGCTTCTTCACACTTTAAGATAACTAAAATTTGTTTTTTATTTTATAAGTATCTTATTTTATAATAAAATATCAATAATAAATATATTGATAGTAAAACATGGTTTAATAAAATGGACTAACCTGTTGTTCCAGAAGACTCTGACTCCCTCAATTTCTGAGATGCTAAAAGTTTTTCCTGCAGAGCTTTCTGGGCAAGTTGCGCATCCCATTCTTCTAGTTCTTTTTCAAATCGCTGGTTATCTTCCTCAACAAAATCTCTCAAATCCGGTGGTAATGTTTCTATTCCAACAAGGGCCTGCCCAGTTTCTTTATTAAACTCCTCTGCAAATTATATTTCAAAAACTAATATAAAATTAAGAATTAAAGGAAAAACACAAAGCTCCAAATAGAATGCATTTCAAATGAGATATAAAGTATAAATTATTACAGTTAGTAAATAAATATTACCTAGAAATTAAAAGAAAACTCAAATGCTCATAAAATCAATGATTCAAATATTTGATAATCCATTAGTTAATATTCTCATCTTTCAGTTTTAATTGGAAGAGTAAAAAATGCAACCAAATATAAAGCCAAAATTGCTACTCAAACACTGACTACTTGTAAGTACTACTTTTTCTGTTATAAGATGTCTGATTATTCATGAAGTAAAACACCACAAAATGAGAATAACTCATAACTTTTTTAAGCTCAAAACAGAACTAAAATTCTTTTTCATCAGAGGCAGTTAAGTAGTAGCAATATATTTATACTAGAGGCCTGGTGCATGAAATTCGTGCATTCAGGGTGTGTGTGTGGAGGGGGTGGGGGGGTCTTTTAGCCTGGCCTACGCTCTCTCACAGTCTGGGAGCCCTCAGCGGATGTCCGATTGCCAGCAGTTGGACATCCTTAGCGCTGCCACGGAGGCAGGAGAGGCTCCGACCACCACCTCTACGCTCACCAGCAGTGAGCCCGGCTCAGGGCTTCTGGCTGAGAGGCACACCCCCTGTGAAAACACACTGACCACCAGGGGGCAGCTCCTGCATTGAGCATTTTCCCCTGGTGGTCAGTGCGCATCATAGTGACCAGCTGTTCTGCTGTTTGGTCGATTTGCATATTAGCCTTTTATTATATAGTATGCAATTTGAAAACTAATTAACATAGATTTTTAAAAGATTGTGTAAATATTACTTAAGTTATTCAATTTCTACTCCACAAACACCAATTAAATTTTTTTCAATCACAAGTGGATTTCCTAGCTAGTTTTGCTGAATAATTAAAGGAAGGTTGATTTTATCAGTTTTGACAAACCTTTATTAAGTGTTTTCTATATGCAAACCCTATGTTAGAATATAAAAAACAAAAAGACATAGTATGACATAGTCCCTGGCTTTGGGCAGATCAGAGTGAAGTGGGAAAGACAAGTCAACATACAACTGCAACACACAGTAAGTGCCTGACAGAGGGATCTCTGAGAATACCAGGAAGTTTTCTTTCTGGCAGACAAGGAAGACTTGCAAAGCAAATGACACTTAAAATGAACCTTGACAGACGAGCAGGAATTAGGCAAAAAAGGCAAGAAATAAGAACATTGCAGGCAAAATATAAAAAAACCTGTAAGAACATACAGATAAAATGTGTGAATAAAATGATTTGGTGAGAGCAGAATACAGCAAGAAGTTCAATATCATTTTGAAATGGATAGACAATGGTCATAAATGAGGCTGGAGAGACAATCAAGAGGTCAGAAATATGTCAGGGTGAGGAACTTGAATATGAGTCAACGTGTGTTGTAGTCATTAAAGAATTTTAGGGGATTGACAAGGGCAGGGGAAAAAAAGGGACACATATGTAATACCCTTTGTAATACTATAAGCAATAAAAAAAAGAGAAAAAAATAAAAAAAAATAAAGAATTTTAAGCGAGGATAAACATGTCATATTTATATTCTACAATGGTTAATAAATAGTTAACTTTGAATACAAAATATATTCTAATTCTCACCCCTGGTCATATTACATTTTGATTTGGGTTTACTCACAATAACTCAATAGCATTTTCTTATCATATCCATCATTCCCTGCGTGAATTTTACATAACTCATCAAACCAGAGATCAGAGTCACATAAAAGGATAACTTATTTAAAAATATACAGTACCCTATATATTTTGTATTCTTACCTTGTATTAAGCATTGTGCCTTATCATTTATGTACATTAAACAGTATGCACTGGCATTTCTATAACCACCAAAAGAGTCCCTCACTAGCTCTTCCCATGATGATCTTGTCACAGCAATATCATTGTATTTCATCCATCTGTTTTCATGATGATCAAAAATGTATGCCCAGTAGTGCCCGGCATTAGCTTGGCCTTCATGAACTAAAACAGCATGTAACCGATAAGGAACCTAAATATGAAAACAGAAGAGTTAAACAGCAATCAAGAGTCTCTTTACTGTACCACATTCCATGAAACACACAAACTATGTGACTAGAGGATACATAGAAGCATATTTCCTAATAAAAGAAAATTGGCTGAGATTAAAAGTTTGAAAAATATTAAACTACAAAATAATAAAAGAAGGGGAAGATAAGTTAAATATGTAGAAAGCAGACAGATGTATAAATTGGATGATTTTTAAAACTTGAAAATGTATTTTATGCAAGTATTTGTTGATCTATTTCACTTATTTCTTTTGAATTAAGAGCTTATATTTTTATATAAAGCACATGATTTGTCTAAATCTTCAAAATTATAAACTGATGGCTCAGTTTACCAAAATGGCTTATTCTATTAAACACTAGAATATATTTACCAGAACTTAAAATATAATTGAGTCCTATACTTTCTTCCATAATTTTAATATCTTTAAACAACCTTATGATTCTCTCATGATTTTATTTTTAAATATTAAGGGGAATTCTGATATATTTTATTATTAAAAATAATAAAAAGAGTAAGCAATAAATACAGTATGGAAATATAACTGAATGGGGTAAATATTAATATGGCTTCTTCAAGTTCAGCAATTTTATAACAAAACATGTAAGAAGAATTTGGTTAAGATAAATAAAACATATAAATAATTTTTATAATGCTTACTAGCTCAAAACTTAACTTACTTGGATCATAGATTTGTCCGAGTACATTAGTTCAATAGTTCGATGGATTCTGGATATGCTTTCCTGCAAATCTAAGAGCAGAAGATGTCATTTAATGATTAACTTCAAGGATGTTTCTACTGAGACCTATAAGACAGAGATTAAAGATTTTCCTGCCAATATGTTAGAAGAATAAAAAAAATTTCCTAAAAGAGTTCTTAAAAACATTATTATTTGGAGTCTATATAAAAATATAATTCTCTTGCCCTAACCGGTTTGGCTCAGTGGATGGAGCGTCGGCCTGCGGACTCAAGGGTCCCAGGTTCGATTCCGGTCAAGGGCATGTACCTTGGTTGCAGGCACATCCCCAGGAGGGGGCGTGCAGGAGGCAGCTGATCGATGTTTCTCTCTCATCGATGTTTCTAACTCTCTATCCCTCTCCCTTCCTCTCTGTAAAAAAACCAATAAAATATATTTAAATATATATATATTTCTTTTTAACTTAATAAAATATACAGCATAAATTCATAATTAAAAACCAAAAAAAATATGGTTCTTTTGGAAAATGTGTGGAACCAATAAAACTATGTATCTATAAAAAAGTTTTCAATGAAATTTAAAGCTAAACCCCCTTACATATTTATGTAAATCAGAAAAACTTTAGCATGAAATAAAATACCTTCACTATATATCTTATATAAACACATAATTGAATAAGAATTCACTAAAATTACCAATGGAAATAAAGTTCCGAGACTCCCATTACTCATTATTTCCATTTCCAGTAGAAATCTATCCTACACAAAGTCATTCCGAGACAGGGATGTTCACAGATATACTGTCCATATAAGTTAAAAACTGAAGACATATCTGTCAATAAGAAAATGGTTCGTTATAGTATAATGGCATAAACACACTATACTATAAATTTGTTGAAAGGAATCAGAAACAAACCATGAAAAACTATAAAAAAAATATGTCACTTTAGAGTAGGGAAAGATCTTCCTCAGCCTGACAGAAAATCAAGTAACCAAAAAGGAAAAGATAAGACTCTCTACCCAAACTTAAGAAAATCTATACTAATAAAAGCCTAGGTGGCCCTCTCTCCCTCACATTATCACAAGATGGCCACCCCTATTTTGTCACAAGATGGCCGCTACAAGATGGCTGCCTCCACGTCCTCACAAGATGGCCGCCCTCACGTGGTCACAAAATGGCCACAAGATGGCCGCCCCCACGTCATCACAAAGATTACTGCCCCCATGTTATCACAAGATGACCACCACAAGATGGCCATCAGCAGAGGGCAGTTGTGGGAAATCAGGCCTGCAGGGGAGGGCAGTTGGGGGCGAACAGGCCAGAAGGGGAGGGCAGTTGGGGGCGAACAGGCCAGAAGGGGAGGGCAGTTGGGGGCGAACAGGCCAGCAGGGGAGGGCAGCTGGGGGCGAACAGGCCAGCAGGGGAGGGCAGTTGGGGGCGAACAGGCCAGCAGGGGAGGGCAGCTGGGGGCGAACAGGCCAGCAGGGGAGGGCAGCTGGGGGCGAACAGGCCAGCAGGGGAGGGCAGCTGGGGGCGAACAGGCCAGCAGGGGAGGGCAGTTGGGGGTGAACAGGCCAGCAGGGGAGGGCAGCTGGGGGCGAACAGGCCAGCAGGGGAGGGCAGTTGGGGGCGAACAGGCCAGCAGGGGAGGGAAGTTGGGGGCGACCGGGCCAGCAGGGGAGGGCAGTTAGGGGTGAATGGGAGTGTAGGGGAGGGCAGTTGGGGAGGACCAGGCTGGCAGGGAGGGTAGTTGGGGGCGATCGGCCACCAGGGAAGGGTAGTTGGGGGCGATCGGGCTGCCAAGGGAGCAGTTAGGCAGCAATCAGGCCAACAGGGGAGAGGTTAGGGGGCAATCAGGCAGCAGGCAGGCAAGCGGTTGGGAGCCAGCAGTCCTGGATTATGAGAGGGATGTCTGACTGCCTGTTTAGGGATCGGGCCTAAATGGGCAGTTGGACATCCCCCGAGGAGTCCCAGATTGGAGAGGGTGCAGGCTGGGCTGAGGGACACCCCTCCAGTGCACGAATTTCGTGCACCAGGCCTCTAGTCTACATTATAAAAACAAAGCAAATCCAACATAAAGGAAGTCAAATAACCAAGACAAACAAGGAAAAGGATATCTGCAGCATACACTTTGGAAAACAGGTTGATACCCATAATGCTAATTTCTATTAAGCAATAAGAGATGGACAAGTGTTTCAATATAAAAATGGGCAGATATCACAAACAAGAAATTTAGAAAAATAAAATTTTAGTCATAATTAAGGAAATGTAAAAAACCGAAAAACCATTTTCAACTATCAGACTACCGCAGACTAAAAAGTAGAGGGATTAAGCAAAGAGAGAGAGAGAGAGAGAGAGAGAGAGAGAGAGAGAGAGAACGAATCCCTGGACACAGACAACACTGTGTTGATTGTGGGCTAGGAGGAAGGTTGGGAGAAGATGAAAGAGGGCATGGAGGGGATAAATGGTGATGGGGAAAAATAAAAAATAAATAAAAGATAAATACATAAAACATAAAAGAAACACAATCTGTCAGGTCCAGTAGAAAATTATCCCAAACTTAACACAGTGTTCAGGAAAAGCTATGTGCTTAATTAATGTGTACTAATAAATTTAAATGTAAAAAATGCCTTCATATATGAAAAATGCTAAGAGAAATCTATACAGTTACTAATGCTAATTGTCACCATCATATCCTACTAACTATTAAATTAGGACTGCACTTTATTTACATATTGTCTATAAAGTGTCAAGTTGGGCACATAAAATCTAACAATCGATATTGTTTAATACAGTTTCAACCTTTTGACATAAAACTAGTTACTTTTCAAAGAAAATTTACAATAAAATCTACCATAAAATTATGTCACTTTAGTAATTAAAAAAAAAAAGGGCATTTTAACAATAGTAGAGTTCCTTCCAAGAAAGGAGAGATGGCAACTTAATACCAACTACCGCTCTCCTTCATAGGGCACTGTCTTTATTTTGCTCCATTCCAGTTAAAACTCATTGTAGGCTGGCACTGAGTTCATATCATATGTGGAGATCTCATTAGAGAAGATTGAAAATTTAAATTCACATTTCTAATTTTTAAGTCTAAAGAAAATTTTTATCACTTGAACTTCATTGTGTCAACATCAGGGATAGCACACCATTTATAAGTACAAATATGATGCTATCTGGGGTTTCTCCAATAAAGAAGCTGAGAATACCAGCTTGATGTTAATTTAGAGCACTAAACTAGAAAATGAGACCATCTGCCATGTCATTAAGCAGCTAAGTAATCCAGGAAAAATTCTTCCATCTCTCTGAATCTGATATTTATATAAAAAGAGCCAAGGTCCGTAACATCCAAAACGACCGAAGGCTCGACTGAACACCGGAAGTCAATCCTGCAGTCAGTGCTGTGGGCGCCTCAGTGACACAGCACTGACTGCAGAGGGGGTTGCGATCAGGCACAGACAGAGGCTCAGAGAGAAAAGCAAGGTCTGATCACAGCCCCCGTGGAAGTCAGTGCAGGGTTGGCATGGCGGAAGTCAGTCCTGAAGTCAGTGAACATAGGGTCAATTAATATTAAGTAAACATAGATCAATTAATATCTCTTTGAGAGGAGTTGAGAATATAAAGTACACTGTAGAGCAATTACTTGTATTATTTCACATAAAATTCTTTTCAACTAAGATATTTTCCTTATTTAAAATATATATTGTTGAAAGAATTACAGATGTCTCTTTGTTTTAGTTTTTTTTCTCTCATTGATCTTCTCCACCCTGCACCCGCCCCTTCCAGGCCTTTGCCAGACTACTATCTGTGTCCATTGGCTATTCCTATCTAATACATAAAAATCTAGAAAGACTTAGAGAAAATAAAATAAAATATATACGAGATAAATACTGAACAGAAGAGTTGAAGTTGCTGCATGAATACTGGATACAGGCTTGAAGCCAAAACACAACTCATGAGATAAAGTTAGTCATTGTAACATAACAAAAGGTTCCTTTCACTAAAGAGATAAGATGGTTCCCAATACTTATACACATAATAGAACAGAGTAGGGGTACAGAATGAACCTCACCAAGATGTGTCTCAGTGGTATGAAGGGCAATTTGAGCTAAGGGCAATTTTAGCTTCAGTCTCAAGTGAAAATTCTGCCCCTCCCTTTAACTACTTAAAAAAAACTGAATTAGAGGCCTTGTCCATAATAAGACATTATCCTATACTAGAGACCCGGTGCACAAAATTTGTGCACTCGGGGGTGGGGTGGGGGAGGGGGGTCCCTCAGCCTGGCCTGTGCCCTCTCGCAGTCTGGGACCCCTTGGGGGATGACCACCAGCTGGTTTAGGCCCGCTCCCTGGGGAATTGGGCCTAAGCTGGCAATCAGACATCCCTCTGACAGTTCGGGAGCCCTTGGGGGATGTCCACTTGCCAGCCGGGAGCATGTCTAAGCTGCAGTCGGACATCCTTAGCGCCGCTGAGGAGGCAGGAGAGGCTCCCACCACCACCGCTGTACTGGCAGCCATCAGCCTGGCTTGTGGCTGAGCAGAGCTCCCCCTGTGGGAGTGCACTGACCACCAGGGGGCAGCTCCTGCATTGAGCGTCTGCCCCCTGGTGGTCAGTGTGTGTCATAGTGACCAGTGATTCCCAGTCGCTCTGCTGTTAGGGTCAGTTTGCATATTACCCTTTTATTATATAGGATAGAGGCCTGGTGCACGGGTGGGGGCCGGATGGTTTTCCCTGAAGGGTGTCCTGGATCAGGGTGGGGCTCCTGCTGGGGTGCCTGGCCAGCCTGGTTGAGGGGCTGATGGGTGCCTGCAGGCTGGTCACACCCCCTTCAGGGTCGGGGTCCCCACGGGGGTGCCTGGCCAGCCTGGATGAGGGGCTGATGGCTGGCTGCAGGGTGGCCACACCCCCTTTAGGGTGGGGGGTCCCTACTGGGGTGCCTGGCCAGTCTGGATGAGGGGCTGAAGGCTGTTTTCAGGCTGGCCAAGGCCCCTGGAGACGGAAGCTCCCAGCCTCTCCTTTTTTTCTTTATTTTTTTTATTCTGGGATTTATTTACCTTCTATAATTGCAACTATTGCCTTCAGTGGAGCTCAGAGCCGGCTGCTGCTCGCTCCAGCTCCATGGCCACAGCCGGCTGAAAGGAGGTATCTGGGGTTTATTTATCTTCTATAATTGAAACTTTGTTGCCTTCAGTGGAGCTCAGAGCTGGCCGGGAAGCTTGGCTTCCTCCATCACTGGAGCAACTAAGCCTCCTGCTCGCTTCAGCTCCTTGGCTGCCGGCCGCCATCTTGGTTGGATTAATTTGCTCTGATTGGCTGGTGGGCGTGGCTTAAGGCACAGCAAAGGTACAGTCAATTTGCATGTTTGTCTTTTATTAGATTAGATAATAGAAGGCTAATGTGCAAATCAACCAAATAGCAGAACGACCAGTTGCTATGACACACACTGACCACCAGGGGGCAGACGCTCAATGCAGGAGCTGCCCCCTGGTGGTCAGTGCGCTCCCACAGCAGGAGCACTTTTCAGCTGACCGACCAGTCCCGTGGCCCACCAGCCCGTCGGCAGCCACTCAGTCCCTCAGTAGTCCTGCAGGTCCAATTTCCGGAGATAGGGCCATGCACCGATGGACCACCACCACCAGCATGATCTTGACAGTGCTTCCAGCCTCCTGGAAGTCGGCCGCGGACACCACGGCCGCGTCCCCTACCTAGACACTCCACAAGGAAGAAAGGATATAAAAGCAGCTGCCAGGTGGCTCCCGACAACCGGTGCGATCGTCAGCGGGATGGATCCAGATCCCGGGCCAGCAAGGGTGTCCCACCACCTGCCCGGAGGGCTGATCATGCACCAGCCCCAACACCCCCCTGGGAATGCCACCCGTGCATGAATTTGTGCACCAGGCCTCTAGTTAAGATCATAAAAATGGAAAGCCAGACTAGTTTATCTTTTAGAAAACCCTTTCCAGAAAAAAATACTTTATAATATTTACACAAGAAATCCAGAGTGATTTTCGTTTTCCATTTGTCTTTATACAGACCCACCTGAGGCTACAATAAGTACACTACGAGAAGCTTCTTACCTCTGGTGTCATTTTCTATTTCTGTCCTCCAGCGATGTAAACAGTTTTCCAGCACAGAAAGTTCTTCTTCCGTTATGTGCCTTGGTGCTGGATGCATGGGCAAGTCTGGAGGTATTCGGGACTGAGTGAATGGTTTGTGAATCATAGATCTTGATGAGATGGCAGCTATTGATGTAGGTGATGTGCTTGGCAATTCCGAAGAGGCAGCTCCCTGTTGTTCCATTGTGCTGTATTTTTAAAGCATAAAATATTATTAAACTTTCCAAATTGAAGCTCTGGACACAGACTGTGCCAAATACATAGCATTAAATTGGCTTATAATTTCAAAAAGAAACGGTCTTAAGAATAGATGAGGAGTAACCTAACATCCTCATGAGTTCCTTAACAAACAAGGACTACATTATTTTAAGGAAGAAATTGTGGCTGTATAGTAGAAATACCTTGATCATATCTACTTAAAAAAACATACACCAACAAATCTTATGTGTACCAAAAGTATAAATACCTTTCCTTGCTAATACTTACCAGCTTACATTGTAGAAAAAATTTCTAATTTAACAATATTATTTTCGTGAATAAAAGGTTGAAACAGATAACATACTAAAACAACCTAAAGTATAACTCTGAATAGAAAAAATATGAAAAATTAAATCCACAACCAGAAAAATTAAATCCACAACCTATTAAAATAATGAAGAAAGCACCTAGAACACATACAACAAATGTTTTAAGTGAATCTAATTTTTTTAGAATTCATTAAAATTAATCACAACATGCATCTTATAAACCTTCTTCAAAGGGTACCAATTACATTATTATGTAATATAGAAAGCACAGCTTGTCTTTTGTATCAAAAAGACTTTTTACCTTGGTAATGCCTGTGATGGTACGGAACCACTAGGTGGGGAACTAGCATCAATATCATCAACAGGAGAAGTGCAAACAGGTTTACTTGAGGCAAATTCCAATGCATACTGTAGAACATCTACCAACGGAAAGCGCTTGGGACCCGAACCATAGCTTAAATATCTATTAACCATAAAATGTATGAATGCTTTAATTTGCATATAAAGCAAATTTGTGTTTTTCAATAATTTTTATAAAACATGATACAAATACTTCAATAAAACTCAACAATGAAATCAGTTTTCAGATGAAGACAGTAAGACTAAATATACATTCAAGAAGTAAATTAAATATTACCCAAAAGAAACCAAAGCTGATTAAACTTGAATGCATGTACACACTGTTATGAATTTTAACACTACTCTAAGTTTCATCTTCCTAAGACTATTTTTTAGTTGTTACCTGGTTTCATGATGACTAATATTATCTTCCTAATTTTTTACCTCTGGTTATTTTTCAATATTATTACTGACTAGAGGCCTGGTGCACAAAAATTTGTGCACTCGAGAGGGTCCCTCAGCCCGGCCTGTGCGCTCTTGCAGTCTGGGACCCCTCGGGGAATGACCACCTGCTGGCTTAGGCCCGCTCCCCGGGGGATCGGGCCTAAGATGGCATTCAGACATCCCTCTGGCAGCCCAGGAGCCCAAGGGGGATGTCCACTTGCCAGTGGGGAGCAGGCCTAGCTGCAGTCGGACATCCTTAGCGCTGCTGAGGAGGCGGGGGAGGCTCCCACGACCACCGCTGTACCGGAAGCTGTCAGCCTGGCTTGTGGCTGAGCAGAGCTCCCCCTATGGGAGTGCACTGACCACCAGGGGGCAGCTCCTGCATTGAGCATCTGTCCCCTGGTGGTCAGTGTGTGTCATAGTGACCAGTGATTCCCAGTCGCTCTGCTGTTAGGGTCAATTTGCATATAACCCTTTTATTATATAGGATAGAGGCCTGGTGCACGGGTGGGGGCCGGATGGTTTTCCCTGAAGGGTGTCCTGGATGAGGGTGGGGCTCCCGCTGGGGTGCCTGGCCAGTCTGGGTGAGGGGCTGATGGCTGTTTGCAGGCTGGCCACAGCCCCTTCAGGGTGAGGGTCCCCGCTGGGGTGCCTGGCCAGCCTGGGTGAGGGGCTGATGGCTGGCTGCAGGCTGGCCACACACCCTTCAGGGTGGGGGGTCCCCGCTGGGTTGCCTGTCCCGTCTTGGTGAGAGGCTAAGGGCCATTTTCAGGCTAGCCACACTCCCTTCAGGGAGGCGGGGGTCCTGCTGGGGTGCCCGGCTAGTCTGAGTGAGGGGTGATGGCTGTTTGTAGGCTGGCCAAGCCCCCAGCAGGGATCCTCACCCCATGAGGATGTGGCCATCCTGGGTGAGGGGCTGATGGCTGTTTGCAGGCTGACTACAGTCCCCAGCCACCCAAGCTCCCAGTGATGGCTGGCTGGAAGCAGGTATCTGGGATTTATTTAGCTTCAATAATTGAAACTTTATTGCCTTTTGTGGAGGCCACAGCTGGCCAAGGCAGGCAGGAAGCTTGGCTTCCTCCATCGCCAGGGCAACCAAGCCTTCTGACTGCTCCAGTTCCGTGGCTGCCGGCCGCCATCTTGGTTGGGTTAATTTGCATATAGTCACTCTGATTGGCTGGTGGGTGAGGCTTGGGCATAGCAAAGGTATGGTCAATTAGCATCTTTGTCTTTTATTAGTGTAGATACCTTTTAAGAATAAGAATTATTGAAATATGATCTATTATATTTGTATAGTAAAGTTTCAGGGTATTTTCAAATTAGCACTAAAATAAGGGGATAAAGATTACATCAGAGGCTGCAAACTGGCATCTGGCAGATGACATTTCAGCCTGGGGACTTTATCTAAACTACAGAACATTTGACAGTCTAGATCAGGGGTGGGCAAACTTTTTGACTTGAGGGCCACAATGGGTTCTCAAACTGGACTCAGAAGAAGGAGCTGCGGCCGTGTTTCCCGACGTTGCCATGTTAACACTGCTGCTGGTGAAGGAGCGGAGGGGAGAGCACGAGAACCCTCCACTCTTTCGGCTCCACAGGCTGGATAGAACAGCCGAATGGGCTGGATCCGGCCCTCAGGCCGTAGTTTGGCCATGGCTGGTCTAGATGTTGGCTTCTGGGAACAATCTGACACTTTAGGGATACTGAGATGACATTCATCATGACTCCACGAGCTAATGTGGCTGGCAGCCACTCTCTCTCCAAGGGGTGTGCTCTAGGCATCCCTGTCCACCACTATGTTTGACTTGTTGCCTTTCTTCAGAAAGCCTCCACGAGGTCCTGGTAGGCATCTGAGTTTGTATCTTCTGTATTAAGGAGGAAAACTCTGTCACCATTTGTCTTAAAGGAAATCTCAAGAGTAATATTTAGTATCATGAAAGAAGAAACCTCAATTATAAGTTAGTTTATATCTATTTTCAGAATCATACCTGTTGTTGGTGAGAATATTTACCTTTAAATACTAGAATAAGCTTCTAATGAGAACTATAAAAGATTTTAAGTTTCTAACAGAATTAAAAACTAAACTATATAAGCAATAATATCAGTTCAGAATTATTATCTACTCCTAGGATCATAAATTACTCAAGAAAAATGTAAGATTAAAAATTCTAGATAATCGCTAAAAGCATGAACTTCTACAGTTAGCTCATAATTCTATAAAAGTTACAATACCTTTCTAGTCTTTGTTGTAATACTGTAAGGTAATCCTTCAGTCTCTTGATCTCTTCCCTCTTAATTCTTGTTATTTCTCTATTTCTGTGCATGTATCTTCCAGAAAAAAAAGAAAAATAGCAATCATTAGTATCTCTAAATATTGTGGAAGGAGATACAATATTAAGTCCAGGCCAGTGGTTGGCAAACTGCGGCTCGCGAGTCACATGCGGCTCTTTGGCCCCTTGAGTGTGGCTCTTCCACAAAATACTGACTTCTGTGCATGGGCCACGAAGTCTCAATCGCACTGTATGTGTGCGCACGCACGTGGTATTTTGTGGAAGAGCCACACTCAAGGGGCCAAAGAGTTGCATGTGGCTTGCAAGCCGCAGTTTGCCGACCACTGGTCTAGGCAATCCCATAGATCAATTCATTTAAAATTTTATAATAAAAATAGAGGCCTTGTGCACAAAATTCATGCGCTTGGGCGGGGGGGGGCAGTGGCTCAACCCGGCCTGCACCCTCTCACACCCACGGAAGATGTCTGACTGCCATGGAGGCAGAAGAGGCTCCCGCCACCACCACTGTGCCCATCAGCCATGAGCCTGGCTTCAGGCTGAGTGGCATTCCCCCTGTGCAAGCACACTGACCACCAGGGGGCAGTTCCTGTTTGAGCATCTGCCCCCTGATGATCAGTGAGCATCATAGCAACCGGTTGTTCCACTCTTTGGTTGATTTGCATATTAACCTTTTATTATATAGGATATCAAACAGTATAAAATAGTACTTTTGAAAATTTCTCATAGAATTATAATACAAGAATATAATAATCTTTTAAAAAACTTCCTTATAATTTCCTTTTACTATACCTTTTCTTGACAAATGCTACTAAATATTTTATACAAAAATTAAAGAATTTAAGGAAATTAGACAAAATTCTTCTCTAAATACAGTAATTCTTCACTTGGTTACTAAACTGTTTCTAAACTAATTTATGCTATATCCCAAACCATACCTGTCCAGATATAAAACTTGAGGAAATTCTAATTTGTTGTGAATTTTTTCTGGTCTTCCCAATGCCTGATTAAATTCAAATCTTGACAATTCAAATGTTAACACGGGTGGTAGTTCAGTAAACCAATGCTGAAAGAAATAATAATTCAAAACATTAGTATCATCTTTCTGTTTTCTCCATTCCAAATTTAGGCATAGGATGTCAGCAGTGACATTTTTATATGCATCGTCACAATGACGACATCACTAAAAAAATTAGGTATGGTATTTAGATAAAACTTTCACACTTTTTGAAAATTCCAAGGATGAGGCTAACATACAACCAGGAAAGAGAAAAATCTTCTAACAATTCTTCTTCCATGACAATTCTTTATATTTGAATTTCTAACCCAAAGAGAAAGCCATTGGTTAAAATCATAACTTAGTAGCTCAAGTTTTTTATTTTTAAAATCCTTATTGTTGAAAATATTACACATGCCCCCTTATTTTCCCTATAGACCCATCTAACCCTCTCCCTCCCCCTACCCCATGTCTTCCCCACCCTGTTTGGTCTGTGTCCATGGGTTATGCATATATGTATATAAGTTCTTGGCTGATCTCTTCCCACCCAACACATCCACCGCTGCCTTCTGTCTGAGATTCAACAGTCTGTTCCATGCGTCTATGTCTCTGGATCTATTTTGTTCATCAGTCTATTTTGTTCATTAGATTAGCTCAAGATTATATTACTATTGCTACCATAAATGGTATATATTCTTATTACAATCATTCATACTGTCAAAACCTGTGACAAAGTTCCAAGATGTAGTACATAAAGGAAAAAAAATGTTATAACATAAATGATCACAATTCTCATACTTAAAAACTAGGAACTGTTTTAAACTTAATTGTCCTACTGGAAATTTGAATAATTTAAGAAAAAGATATATCACTAATAAATATTTATGGTAATTATATTTGAAATCCTTTATAGTAACTAGCATTTAACAAATTAAATGCCTCATTGCTATGAACCAACTCCAGCAAAAACTTTGGGGAATGTTCAATTATGAATGTTATACAACAAAATTAAAAATTTTTTTTTTTGTAGAAAACATTCAAGTTTTATATAAACACTAGAGACCTGGTACATGATATTTTCTGTATCAAGGTAAAATCAACAACTTTTACTAAACAATAGTGTAAGAGGTGTTACCATCAAGAATTATGCCAATTTTGAAACACATCTACCATGTTTTTCATTGGTCTTTGTAGAGACTCAAGAAGAAATAGTTATTCTGAAGCATATAATGAAATAGGACTATAATTTTAAAATGTTATTAGAAACTTATCTAGGCAATTGGTAATAGATCAAATTTGGTATTACTGAGACTGCTTAGAAACTGAATTTAGAGAAGATGGCAAACTATTGTATTCCATAGGCTGAATTAAAAAACCTAGGCAGAAAGCATAGAATGCAGTCTAAGATTTTATAGTATAAAGACAAAGATGAAGGACAAACTAGATTTTAAAAAATAAACTAGAGGCCTGATGAACAAAATCTGTGCAAGGGGCTCGGCCCTCGCAGCCCCAGCTTCGTCCAGAAGGTCATCTAGACAGTCATTGGGCTGTTGGGTCTAATTAGCATATTAGCGCTTTATTATATAGGATAGCAGCCTGGCCTGCATGGCTAATTGGTTGAGTGTCAACATATGAACCATGAGGTCAAGGTTCAATTCCGGGTGAGTGCACATGCCAAGGTTGTGGGCTCAATCCCCAGTGAGGGTGTGGAGGAGGCAGCTGATCTATGATTCTCTATCATCACTGATGTTTCTGTCTCTATCCCACTCCCTTCCTCTCTGAAAACAATAAAACTATATTTAAAAAAATAAAAATAAAAATTTAGATTGAATGTAAGGAAAACCATTTTTGAAAGCTAGACATATGTGAGAAAGATTACTTACCAATAAACCGTAGTGTATTTCACTTACAAGCTGCTTTGACAAAGTAAGGAATATGCCATCCTGTTTTCCCTGCCCCACCCATCCATCTATCATCCTTAGTTAATCCAAAACAGATCATACTTTAAGGAATTCTGCTTTCTTGTTCTCTTATGGGGTCCTGGGAAAGTTCCAATCCTTGGATATCTATTTTCCATCAATAAAATAAATCAACTTAATTTAATTATTCTTTTTTAAAAAATTATATATATTTTATTGATTTTTTACAGAGAGGAAGGGAGAGGGATAGAGAGTTAGAAACATTGATGAGGAGGAACCAAGATGGCAGCATAGGTAAACACCGGAGATTGCTGCCTCGCACAACCACTTCAAAAATACAACTAAAAGACGGAACGGACATCACGCAGAACCACAGGAAGGCTGGCTGAGGGGAAATTCTACAACTAGAAGGAAAGAGAAAGACATACCGAGACTCAGAGGCACAGTGCGTAAGTCAAATACTATGGTGCGGAGGTGCGCGCAGAGCGGGCTGGCACCTGAGGGCGCGGTTGTCTGTTTCAATCGGGAGGGAATTTCAGGCTCTGAGCTCCAGATCCGGGCGAGTCTCTAGGGACCCAGACTCAAACGGGAGAAGTGGGACTGTCTGGCATCGGTCGGAACTTGAGGGCAGCTTTCTCTCCGAGGTTTGCAGTGGTTGCTGGGACTCTGAGAGGCAGAGCCCCTGGTGAAGGGACTGAGAGCAGCCATAACGGCTCCGCCCGCCCTGTTGATCCCGTGGGACCCACCCCGCCCAAGCCCTGCACAGAGGCATTTGCCGGATAGCCTCAGGCAAAGACTAGATTAGCACCTCCCTAGAGGACAGAAGTTCTCCCACTGCAGACACAGCTGATTCTCACTGCCACTTGGCCTGGAGGTCAAATCCCCCCAGTATTACCTACAACAATCAAGGCTTAACTACAACAAGGCTGCGCACAAAGACCACAAGGGGGTGCACCAAGAAAGCATAAAAAATGCGGAGACAAAGAAACAGGACAGAAATGTCAGAAATGGAGGATATAGAGTTCAAAACCACACTTTTAAGGTCTTTCAATAATTTTCTAGAAACTGCCGATAAACTTAATGAGATCTACAAGAAATCTAATGAGACCCTCGATGTTGTGATAAAGAACCAACTAGAAATTAAGCATACACTGACTGAAATAAAGAATATTATACAGACTCCCAAAAGCAGACCAGAGGAGCGCAAGAATCAAGTCAAAGATTTGAAATGCAAAGAAGCAAAAAACACCCAACCAGAAAAGCAAAATGAAAAAAGAATACGAAAATAGTGTAAGGAGCCTCTGGGACAGCTTCAAGCGTACCAACATCAGAATTATAAGGGTGCCAGAAGAAGAGAGAGAGCAAGATATTGAAAACCTATTTGAAGAAATAATGACAGAAAACTTCCCCTACCTGGTGAAAGAAATAGACTTACAAGTCCAGGAAGCGCAGAGAACCCCAAACAAAAGGAATCCAAAGAGGATCACACCAAGACACATCATAATTAAAATGCCAAGAGCAAAAGACAAAGAGAGAATCTTAAAAGCAGCATGAGAAAGAAACTCAGTTACCTACAAGGGAATACCCATACGACTGTCAGCTGATTTCTCAACAGAAACTTTGCAGGCCAGAAGGGAGTGGCAAGAAATATTCAAAGTGATGAACACCAAGAACCTACAACCAAGATTACTTTATCCAGCAAAGCTATCATTCAGAATTGAAGGTCAGATAAAGAGCTTCACAGATAAGGAAAAGCTAAAGGAGTTCATCACCACCAAACCTGTATTATATGAAATGCTGAAAGGTATCCTTTAAGAAGAGGAAGAAGAAGAAAAAGGTAAAGATAGAAATTATGAACAACAAATACGCATCTATCAACAAGTGAATCTAAGAATCAAGTGAATAAATAATCTGATGAACTGGTGATTATAATAGAATCAGGGACATAGAAAGGGAATGGACTGACTATTCTTGAGGGGAAAGGGTTGTGGGGGATGCGGGAAGAAACTGGACAAAAATCGTGCACCTATGGATGAGGACAGTGGGTGGAGAGTGAGGGCAGAGGGTGGGGTGGGAACTGGGAGGAGGGGAGTTATGGGGGGGAAAAGAGGAACAAATGTAATAATCTGAACAATAAAGATTTAATTTAAAAAAAAAAGAGAAGAAACATCGATGAGAGAGAAACATCGATCAGCTGCCTCCTGCACACCCCCCACTGGGGATGTGCCCGAAACCAAGGCACATGCCCTTGACCAGAATCGAACCTGGGACCCTTCAGTCCACAGGTCGATGCTGTATCCACTGAGCCAAAACGGTTAGGGCAATTTAAATATTCTTAAGTATAGTTCTATATCAAATCACTTGTGGAGCTCTTGTGCCATGTACCATATCCCTGTCCTAGATTCTGATTTGATAGCTTTGAAGTGGGGCCTAGGCATCTGTTGAGAATGACTCAGTAGATGACCTGTGAGGTGGAGAGAACAATTATTTCACAGATTCTCTCTCTTTCCCTCTATAAAAAAACGCCACACCAAATAATAAATATTATTTATTTCTGTTGAAGGGGAAAAAAAGTTAGGACAAAAATGGTTAATTACAATTTTTAAAAAAGCACACAATTCAAATAAAATCAATTTATTCTCAAAGATACAAGAACCCAGTCCCTTTTTAGATAAACACAAGAGAGATAGAATAAGTTAATATTTATTAAGCTCCTATTCAGGGATAAAGACCTCATAAACTCTTTTGATAACACTGAGACATTTCATTCAGTCAGTCACACCTCTAATTGCAGTTACCACACTATCCACTAGGGACACAGAAGGGAGTGGCACATATGAAGATCCTGCCCTCAAGCATGGAGGCTCACAAAAGCAACTATCAGCAATTGCTTAACAATGACTGATTTTAAAGATTCATATCTGTTCTTTACTTTCTGCTGTAACACTCCTCAAAAGATAAGTACATGTATGGTTAGATGGATATGCAGATGGAGCTGGAGAGACAGAGTTGGGTGGCGAGACAGAAAGCAGTAGACACAGATAAATAGGTTTATAATATATTAAATGCCTGATGTACGAAATTTGTGCAAGGGGCTCGGCCCTCACAGCCCCAGCTTCGTCCGGAAGGTCATTTGGCTATCTGGTCTAATTAGCATGTTATGCTTTTATTATTATAGATTTTGTAAATTATTTCCTTCTGGAGAAAGCAAGTTCTTCCATCTGTCCTTCACATTATTATACTGAAATTTTACAAGAAAAGGGGTCTTTGTAGAGACTCAAGAAGAAATAGTTATTCTGAAGGATATAATGAAATAGGCCCCTCCTGCCCACCTGCTTGCCCCCAAATGCACCCTCCGGCCCCCCACTTGCCAGCCTGATCACCCTCAAATGCCCTCCCTTCCTGGCCTGATCGCCCCTAACTGCCTCTGCCTTGGCCCCGCCACCATGGCTTTGTCCAGAAGGTCTCCTGGTCTAATTAGCATATTACCCTTTTATTAGGATAGATGGGCTATGCAGATTTCCCAAATATGTCTAAAATACCATCATTCAATGAAAACACATATTTAGAGTATTCTCAATTAGTAGGTAGCTATAGAAATGGGGACTTAAATTGTGCTTTACAGCACTGTTATAAAGATTTAGGGGGAGAGGGATGATGCAGATGTTAAACTTACCTCTTGGCCTGATTTTCCTGAATTCTCTGAATGTAAAGATTCAATTTCTCCTTCAATCATAGCAGCTTCTAGGCACTCATGTAGATCTTTGAATCCATTGACCTGAAGTGGGTACTGACCAAACATTTCAGTATTTTCAAATTTTTTACCTATAGGAGGGGGGAAAGTTAATTAACTTACTATTCCTCAATGTGGCCTTTTAGCTACTAATTGTATTATGAATGACCTCTTACCCTGAAAACTTAACTCTGATGGATTATGTTCCAGAGGGTAATGAGCTAGTGTATAAACCAAATTCTGTTGGTTTATATATGTACATATGTACATTCACATCCAGTCATATATTCAATTCAACCCAAATGTAATATATGTATGTATATATGTATGTATTTATTTACTTATTCTTCCAAAAAGCCCTTCTAAGGCCAAGATACTGTGCTAAGCAATAAAAATATGTACAACAGTGAAAAACAAGAGATGGTCCCTGAGCTGAGGAAACTCTTAGCCTCTTCTGGAAAAAAAGACATCATACATATTAATTGCACACATAATTTTGAACAAACAACTGTTTGGTATTGTAAATGTTATAAAAAGTGTGGTGAGAGAGACCGCTGTGAGAGGGTAGAAAAAGGGGAGCTGTCCTAGTCTTTAGGGATCGAGAGTAGAACAAAGAGGCTTCCATAGCAAAAAGACATTTATTCTCAAACTTAGTGAGTGGGAGTTAGCCAGGCCAGAGTGTCCGGGAACTGTAGAGTATTCTTGGCCAAGGAAAAGCACATACAAAGACTTTAAAGCTGCAAAGAACTTGGCACATTTGAAGAACAAAGAAGAGGACAGTATAGCTTGGGGAAGCAATGGGGAGGTGACAACCAAGAGTTAGTTAGGTGGGTCAAAATCTACAAAGTCTAACAGCCTTTGTTACGAATTTTTTCAGTACATTCTGAGAATAATAGAAAGTATTAAATTGTTAAATCTAGGAATAATAGGATCAAAAGAACTAACAAGCAAAACAGAGACAGACTCATAGATAGAAAGCTGATAGGTGTGGGACGGGGAGTGAAGGTATTGAGCAAAGAGAAAAAACTCAAGGACAGATTCAACAATGTAGTGATTGCTGAGGGAAGGGGAATGGCAAAAAGTGGAGGAGGGTATAAAGGGGATAAATGGTGATAGAGACTTGACTTGGGGTTTTGAACACACAATACAGTGTACAGATGATGTGTTATAGAACTTTGCACCTGAAATCTGTAATTTTGTTAACCACTGTCATCCCAATAAGTTAAATAAAAAGGCAAGAAAAGGATCAGATTTATGTATTTAAAACATTCTTTTGACTTCTGTAATAAGTGGGTGGTAGATTACTAGGATAGTATTATGGAATCCATTCAGTGTAGAATAGGGTGTTACCAGTAAAAGTGTACAAAAACACACAAATTAATTTACACACACACACACACACACACACACACACACACATTTATGTATGTATACAAGGAGGAGCACCAGTAAGGCTTGATTGATTGGCTCAATGCAGAATGGGGGACAGAGGTAAGTAGGGTATCAGGAATGAGACTCACCTTTCTAGTATTAACAATTGGACTAATGTTTATGTACTGAAGGGGCCCCACTGAAGAAAGCACAGAGGATTATTTTTGTTTTGTTTAAGGTTGAGAAAATAGTTGGATATGAGTCTGTAAGATTATTTCTCTAGTCTGAGGCTCTAAATTAAAAATCGCTGACTTACTGGTAGCAGGAAATCAAGGCAGTAAATGAGACTGTCTAGGGAATTAGTAAACAGGATAAGGAAGAGGGCCTAAACTGAGTCCCAAAGATGCCCTACCTTTAATATAAGAAGAGACTATAAAACATAACTACTAAGAAGTACCCACTCAGAAATTTTAAAAAGCCAAGAAAATATGGTGCCATAGAAGCCAGAGAAGTGTTTTTAAAAGGAAAAATGGAAGAAGAGGAGAGAGTGGATCAATAGAATTAATAGCTGATAGGAGTTCAGTACAAAAACTGAGAGGGACCCAATGAACTTGAACACATGTAAAAAAACCTACATTAATCTTAAAAATATTCCTTTAGGAAGAGGTCTGGGCCAGAAGCAAAAGTGGGATGGTTTTAACAAGTGGGGAGTTAGCAGATGATATCAAACCCGTCCTTAAGGGGCTTAAACTTAAATAGGATTAACTTAAAAGAGTGCCTTAATTTTTAAGACATGAGATACCAGACCAGGTCCAATTATCAATGAGAAGACACATTAAAGAGGGCTAAGGTGAAGATAAAAAACAACAGCAATAAAAAACTGCCCACAAGATAATAAGAACAGTGAGGTCTGGGTGAAAGCATGAAGGAATGAGATTCTGAGAACATACAAAGAATACTCTGTTGATATAAGACTAAATATTCCTCTATTATCTGGGGGATCAAATAAAAATAATTAGTGGCATTAGGAATGGATCCAGGTTGGAGAGGCTGCAGCACAATATTTGATGATGAGCATTTTAAGAACTGTTTTACAATATTATAACACAAAATTAGATTCAGGGCCTTAGGACCCACAGTTAGGTTTCATTAGCTTCACAGTAAATTCATGAAAGTTGAAGTAAAGTGTTTTTTAGACAATGAAGAGACAAGACGTTAGAATTACAGTAGAAAAGATAGAAATTGTTAATGCAGAAAACAGGATAGAAAACAGTGATTAAATAAAATAAGTATGACAGCCAAGTAGGGTTAGAGAACTGGAACCAGTGAAGCTTGGTATACTACAGATTCCTGATCCACTACAGCTAGCCCACTGAAGTGACTTTTCCTCAGCAATTTCAGGAACTCAGGGCATGCAGAGAGAAGATAAATAGCTTAATAAAGGTCAGAGAATAGACAGAGACAGTGCTAGAAATCAATGTGGGAAAGGGAGTTTTAGATATTTATACAGATAATTATAATGAACAAGGATGGAAATAAAGAGAAGGGCTGAGAGGAACTAAATGGAGGAATCAGTGGTCTATAAGTTCTTTTTGCAAGGGGCTACTTTAGCAAACAAACGGAAATCACCCCATTGGGACTCACTGGTCTGACACCTCAATATAACCTTACTGACCAAATCCTTAGCCTCTGTCTTTTTCTAAATTCTAAGTTATAAAACTATATTCAAACAAAACTTCTTATGAATCCATTACTTATCCTGAAGAAAAAACAATTTTCCAAATTTTATACTTTGGGCACTTCCAAAAGTTGATGCACTGGGCCATTCAGGAAAAATAAGTTATCAAAAATTTATATTTTGGGACTTAGTAATATTATTATTTGAAGTATATCTACTGACTCAGTTCAGTCCCTTGTTAGGAGAATCAGAGTGTAACTGGTTTGGTCCAGATTTTAAGTAATAGGCATTTAAGGAAGATGGAGTAGTATCATTCTTAACTGAATTTTCAAAAGATAGAATACAACTCTTTCTTGAAAACTAGAGTCTAAAGAATTTTATAATCACCTAAAAAGTGCAATATCCCAACTATGCTAAATTGCTAAACTCAGCTTTCAACATTCACAGACTTAAAACCCTCAAAAACAGTGATAATCATATCAACCCCAGTATTCAATTCAAATATTATTTTCAAAAGATTCACCAACAACACAACTGCCCCTGTAATCCCTGTATCCCAATAATTCACAGAATTACAGAAGCCTTCCCAGGGAAAAAACAACAGGATAATATTAACTAAGTATCAATTAGCATGGGATAATATACTCTATACCTTCCTTTTCATATCTCAATTCTGTGCTTTGTATATAAATGACTAGTGGTAGCAATGTAACTCTAGACAGGAACTCTAGACAGAGTAAGTCAAATTAAAATTAAAAGTCATTCAACAAATGAAGAGTTACTATCAAGACAAAGAAGCTAACAGATTATATCTCTTCATTGTAATACCTTCAAGTACTCCCACAGCTAAGAATCTTCCATAGAACAACTCTACCATGGGGTTCTTTGGCTTCTCTTCATCCCTAAAGCATGTTAAAAAACATAAATATGGTTATAATTTTTGGACCTGTAAGTAATGAAGGAAACATTAGAAAAACAATAGCCTATGCCAAAGTAATAACGTGTATGAGGTTATCATGCACTCGGCTGGTACTTAGTGTCACCCTGGGAAAGGTACTTAAATTTACTTTTCCATTTCTTCACCTGTCAACTGAAGATAATAATGGTAATTAAACCCTCAAGGCTGTTTTAAAGGTTAAAATAACTATGCAAGATGCTCTTACAAGAGGACCTGACAGTCAGTGCCCATAAAGTGCCTAGCTTTTCTATTATCACTACACACTTCAGTCTCGGACCTTCAGTCCTTATTATATATACTTTTTTGGACTTGTTGGGAAGGGGGAAAGCCACCCTTGATCAAACATGCTTTGTCCACCTTCAAGTTGAAGGACCCCACAAGTGCTACTGTCCTGTCAGACTAATAGAGAGCCTCTGTGTGGACTTGACCTAAGGTTGTCCACCTTGGTTCCTGGTTCTTAAAAGTTCAAGTTCCTTGTATCTTTAAGGTTCTAATACTAAAATTTATTGGGCAAGTTTCCTCTGAGTAAATGATATCTGTATCCCAATCTATGATACCCGAGTGTCTTTGAATTTCCCTCAGTAATTTTTTAAATGTTTTATATACCCTGGAACCCCTAGTCCTCCTCTCAAGTCTATCCAGATTTCTGTAAGCACTTCAGTGTCATACTTTCAACACGAGTCCTCAATTGCTTTTCACCTGTAGACTTAGAAGAAAGCCACTTGACTATTTCATGAATCTTTGTTTCTTCTGAACGAGTTATTCTATTCTGATTTTGAAGATCTTGCTTATTATTTACTTACTTTTTGTTAATTTCTTTTGGGTCCTAGTCACCTTATATGATCTGGTAACTAACAAATTATCTCCCCTTTTTTAAAAACAGTTTTAAAACAGGCTAGAATTTTTCCATATCTTCAGAAATCTTAAGTCTTATTTGAAATATGTCCCTCTCCTCATTGAATCTAATGAAAAGAACTGGGCAATGTAGGATTAGCCCTTTCAGGGATCACTTTTTAGACCTTTCTGGCTAGATTCTTCCCTGATAGTGGAAATCTAAAGCTACCAGCATTTGTGGCCATAAATTCCAACAGCTTATCAATAATACAGAGGTAACATTTGGGCTCCCATATGTCTATCTCAGATTCCTATTTATTTGTTGACACTGAATACATTAAAGGAAAAAAAAATGAGTGCTACTTACAGATCTCTTAAAATACCATCACTAAATTTCATGGTAACTTACGTCTCCTCTTCAGCTTTCATTTGGAAGGCATCTTCTAACCAATCTAGTAATTTGTGTGTAAACTCACTCACATCTTGCTATAGGGAAAAAAAACCAAAACACACACAAAAAAAAAACCTTGTTAATTTTTAAGCCTATTAATAAAAATGCTAAATATTGCAACATAAAACTTGCACCCAGACATTCAAACATATAATTACTGACTACTCACAAAGGTATTAAATGAAATCTTTCACATCAAATGCAATAAATATTTATAACTTAACCAGAGCACAAAATCAGTATTTGAGAAAAACAAGCATTATATTGATAATCATTGTGATTGGCTTTCACTTTAGGAAAATAAATATCAGAATTCCAACTTACAAATGAGATTTCTATTTTTTAATTTTTATTTTTTCCCTTTTAATTGAATTTATTGGGGTGACAATGGTTAACAAATTATACAGGTTTCAGCTGCACAATTCTACAACATATCATTTGTACACTATTGTATATTCACCACCCAAGTCAAGTCTCCTTCCGTCACCATTTATCTACCCATACCCTCTTTCCACTTCCCTGCAACTCTGTACACCCCTTCTCCCAGCAATCACCATGAGTTGTTTTTTTTTTCTTTTTTGCTCAATCCCACTCCTCATCTCCCCCCAACAACTGTCAGCCTACTCTCTATCTATGAGTCTGTCTCTATTTTGCTTGTTAACTTATTTTGTTCATTAGATTACATGTATGAATGAAATAATACAAAATATTTTTTCAAAAAAGCTGTTAATGAACCTTTATAAAAGTATGCATATCACCAAAAAGTTCTTCATTTTATAAAGAATACTGGCTTCTCTCTTAGAAGGAAGATGTGCCTTTCTTCATTCAACTTTTCAAAGGCATATCCACTAAACATATTTGACTGAGTTCAATCAACCCATCAAAGAAAGATAAAGCAGGGTAAGCACTTGGTCTTTATCAAAATAGCTCTAAATATAAAACAAACTTTAATGTCACACATTTTTCCATCTAGAAGTTGTTTAAAGAGCATCTAGGCCAACTTGCACACCTTTAAAATGTTAAAACTAAGGTCTAGGAAGAGTAAGTAAATTACAAGAATGTCATATAGTTCAAGACAAACTCAGCACAAAAATCCAGTTATAAACATCCATACTATCTGTAGTAGGTTAAATAGTGGCCCACCAAAACACTTGTCCACCTGGAACCTCAGAATACAAACTTATTTGGAATAAGAGTTTTTGCAGGTGTGATTTAGGTAAGGATCTTAAGATGAGATCATCCTGGGTTAGAATAGGCCTAAATCCAATTGTGAGTATTCTTCTAAGAAACAGAAAATGAGCAAACACATAGACACACTGGGGAAAAGGCCACATAAAGATGTAGACAGAGATTGGAGGTATGCTGCCAGAAGACAGGAACACAGGAGCCTAAAGAAGATGACAGAGTCAAGGAAGGCTTCTTTCCCTTAGAGCCACTGGAGGGAGCAAAGCTCTTCCATCACCTACCTACACTTAGGATTTTGGCCTCTAGAACTATGGAGAGAATATTTTTCTACTGTTTTGAAGTCACTCGGTTTGTTGTAATTTGCTACAGTTGTCCTAGCAAGTTATAACACCTTAAAACCTTCAATACTTTTCTACAACTTGGCTTATCTTGCAAGGTTATCTGACAAAAAACAAAAAGGTTTCCTCGTTATCATAATACTCTTCAGAGAAAGTAATCCCTGTCTTTTTTAGCAATCAATCTAAAATTTACAATTACAAAATAATTCTACCTGCTTTCATCAAGAGAAAAAAATGATAACATTTTAGTTTTAAATTAAGTTATAAGTATACTTAAATTTGGCAGTACTGTATCCCAAAAAATATCCCCGAGACTCTTGAATATTTCAAAGATATAATTAAAAAGAATATGAAATGAACATATAAATTCACTTTTATTTTTATTTTTTTTAAAATATATTTTATTGATTTTTTTACAGAGAGGAAGGGAGAGAGAGATAGAGAGTCAGAAACATCGATGAGAGAGAAACATCGACCAGCTGCCTCCTGCACATCCCCCACTGGGGATGTGCCCGCAACCCAGGTACATGCCCTTGACTGGAATCGAACCTGGGACCTTTCAGTCCGCAGGCCGACGCTCTATCCACTGAGCCAAACCGGTTTTGGCTAAATTCACTTTTAAAAGTCATGATGCTTACTTTACTTATAGATCCACTCCACTATGCCACTAATGTGTACTTTAGATTCGAATATCTAGGAACAGAAGAGAATCAAACCTATATCTACCTCAATTGATGTGCAACTACTTTAAAGATTTCCTCCCCGCCTCCCCTCCCCCCCCCCCCCCCCCCCCCCCCCGGCCCAGGGAGTGAGAAAGGGAGAGGGAAAGAAATATCTGTATGAGAGCAAAACATCAATTAGCTGCCTCCTGCATGCCCACTACTGAGGATTGAGCCTGAAATCCAGCATGTGCCCTGACCAGGAATTGAACCAGTAACTTTAATGTGCATGGGACAATGCCCAACTAACTGAGCCACACAAGCCAGGGTGATGTGCAACTACTTTAAAAGCCCTTGTAGAGGGGAGAAAAAGAACCCAAAGCAAAGACATTCGCCATGTGGCATTCTGGAGCATGTCACAGCATGAACAGCTAGTTGTCTTCTGTCCACTCTAACAAAAGTGAAGTCTACCCATATACATACATATAAGGCTTCCAATTAAACTTGTGCTACCTCATTTTTAAATATGAAAAGATACCTAAAGATCACTATGCTTTCTTAGAAAGCTTCAACACAAAAGAAAGCAGCCAAAAAAGACAAAGAAAAAGCAATTTCAGAAGAAAAGATAAGTCAAGGAACAGAAATGACTTTTAAAACTTAATAGTAGGGAGACAAATGGTGGTGGAATAGGCAGACCTGTTGGGCACCTTGTCCCAAGGCCAGGCTGGAAATACCACTAAACTGGAGAACATTCACCTGGAATTTCCAACTGTGGTCCAGCTGAGGAGCTGACTTATAACAAGGAAGGCACCTGGAGACTGGTAGGAAGGGCGAGGTTGTGAGAGGTGGGGAGCCTGGAAAGGAAGGAGCTGTGCTATGGGGAGAACTGTTCTGGGAGCACAGGCAGGACTCCATGCACCAGTGGTGGCAGTGGCATGACCCGACCTGCAGCACTACCCAAGCCCATGGTGGCCTGACCTGTGGCAGTGTGGCCCACAACGCCCATATCATCCAAGCAGCTGTGAAAGGCAGCAGGATTGCTGGCAGCAGCAGAGTCTAGACCTGGCGGACGAGAGTCAGTGGGGGAGAGAGCTGCAGTTTCGACTGCCTTTTTCTTTCTTTCGTTTTTAATCACTTAAACCCAAAGCACAAGAGTTCTCATTTGCAAATACACACCCGAGCTGTTGGCATAGGGCAGTGGTCGGCAAACCGTGGCTCGCGAGCCACATGCGGCTCTTTGGCCCCTTGAGTGTGGCTCTTCCACAAACCACCACATGCGGGCGCACACGTACAGTGTGATTGAAACTTCGTGGCCCGTGCGCAGAAGTCGGTTTTCTGCCTGGGCGAGTCTAATTTGAAGAAGTGGCGTTAGAAGAAGTGGGGGGTGTCCGTCGGTCGGGCAAAGGCGCAGCCGCAGCCGCGGGATACGCAGCAGCTGGGGAGGTGCACGCAATTCATGCACGAGTTGAGGATGGGAGAGTTGGAAGGGGTCGACCTCAGTGAACGTACCTCAATCAGATTGAGGACGTTTTTAGCAAAGGCCAGCTTAGGAGTACCCTAATTAAGTTAATAACAATGTACCTACCTATATAGTTTAAGTTTAAAAAATTTGGCTCGCAAAAGAAATTTCAATCGTTGTACTGTTGATATTTGGCTCTGTTGACTAATGAGTTTGCTGACCACTGGCATAGGGAAATAGGCACAGAATTGAGTTGCCTGAGGACAGGAGGGGGTGAAAAGCAGGGCAGAGAGACTTGGGAAAGCAGTAGCTGGGAGTCCTGCATTGGATCATTCATATGCTTCCAAACCAAAACAGCTATTCTCCCTGGGAAGAGAGGTACCTGCTCCTAACACCCAGAAGGCAGGTAAAGGAAAAAAACCCTGCCCTAGGTGATACAGCCTGCCACACCCTGCATTTTGAGCTTTACAGAGGAAATAAAGGCAGAGGCCAGCTTAAGGGTCTGAACAGTCTCAAGGACCCTCAGTGAATGGATTGGAGGAGGGGCCATCAGCCCCACTATTCTAGGAACGAGAACCCCCCAGTTGACCCCATTGGTCTCCATACAAGGATCTCTGTCCAGCCAATAGCAGAGTAATATTTTGGGCCACTCGCGGAGGAGTAGCTCTGGGACAGAAAAAAATACCCATCATATTCTCTGAAAGTGAAACACCAAACACTGTCAGGAACAGACTCTTGAGTGATTAAGATTGACAGCTGGCTGACAGGCAAAGGTGGGCAGCAGTGGAACATGGAGATTCAGAGGAAGAGTGCTGAATCAGCCCTGGGCTCCAGGTGGCTAACAAACCTTCTCTAGAAGACAGACTGCCCCTTCGGCTTGCAGATAAGGCCTGTGGACACAGACACAAATGGTGGACTGGTGGATTGTTTGGAGCTTCAAGCAGGTGCTAAAAGCCAAAAGACATGCCTGACAGTGGTTAGCACCCAAGTACCTAACAGGAAGCCCAGAACTGGCAGACAGAAGAGTGGGGCCCTAAGCCAGCTCCCATGGGGCATTAAAACTCAGCTTAAACGAATGACACTTCACTTTTCTCTTTTCTTTTTTTGCACATTTCTTCCTCTTCATTTTTTTTCCTCCCATGTTTCTTTCTTCTTTCTCCTTTTCAGTTTTTCTCTTTCTTTTCCCCACTTTTTAAAATTGACCATTTTTATCTATCTGCTTTATTGATGTGTTAGTATCCTATTCTCTGTTGTTTTGTTCATATATATAATTTTCCTCTTCCCTGCACCTACTCAATTTCCTGTTCTCTTTCCTTTTTCTTCCACTGCTCAATTTTTAAATTTTTTTCTCTCTTCTCTTTTTCATTTCTTCTTCTAATTTCTTGTTTCACTTC